TTCAGGTTGTAATGTAGGGACAGCTAAAATGTAGTTATGGCAGTGAATTTTTTTTCCGTGTTATTAATTACCTTCTCGTTGAAAATTCTTAATTCTAGATTTCCTAGAAATATATGTTCGAAAAATCATCAATAATATTTTAACATGTTTGTGAAACGTCTGAGTTGAAGATTAAATTTATCGGAATTATATCCCGGCTTCAATCTCTGTTCTTTAAATTGCTAGAAATTGTTTTGCTCGTACAGGAGGGATTTAGCTATTAATTTAAATTGTAGCGTAATACGAATCTTACGAGATATATAATACAGATTAAAGTGAAATTGCATCTCGTAGAAGTAATATTCGCCGATGGAAGCACCGATTACCATCGGCACACGCGATGACGAAGAAGAAGCCCCCGATGGTGTTTCAGGGCGTATCGATTCGTATAAAACGGCCGTTCGAGAGAGAGATACGCGATAGCTGCGCAAATTCTGTTAAATTTGTAGCCTTAGCGGCTATTAACTTTGTGTATACATTTGCGAGCGAGCATATACCTACGTACACGTCGTTTCCTGTTACGTGTATCCGCGATAAAGTTACACTTCGGGGAGGTCGCGGCATCGTTTTGCATCAACTGCCTCTTGAAACTCGGCTAATAATTCTCGCGAATGACATTACACTGCGCACGAATATAATATCTCCTCTCTTTGAGCGATAAGAAATTTGTTTGGCTAAAATGTCGAATTTGACATTAGCACCATGGCGCGTTGTCATTTTAATCCCTGCGCGGATAGTAAATTCCTCGGGGCTTCATATACGATACACAAAAAAATATGTGATATATGACATAAAGTATGTAAAATTATGTACATAAACAATAAATGTAAAATTATACGATAAATGATGAAAATGTATGCAATTTTATTATTTATATTGTAATTTTACACTTATTATTTATGTAATTTTACATATTTTTTTGTTACAATATATACGTTTCAGTGCAATCCTTTATCGCGATTCAACGTGAATTTATTTTTGTTTTTAAATACAAATCTCGATTTATATAATTTTATAATTATATATAAATATATATTATATATTTATAATATTTATATTATTATATTTATATATTTATAATTATAAATAATTTAATAATATCATATTTATTATATATTCAAAATTATTATTGTTATCATTCTGATTCTGCGTCCTTTGTCAAATTATTTTATGAATGTCACTATTTTACTATGTAAATGTTAGATTTCTTAGGTCTTTCTAGTAAATTGGAATTTGTGAACGAAAGCAAATGCGCATATATTTTCCTGCAATGTCTCGCTGTGAGGAAAGTCGTTGAATAGAATTGAATAAATTGAATAGAAGGTTCAAAGTATACAGAGAAGTCTTTGAAAAACACTGTTAGATTTGCATCTCGTGCATCCTCCCCTCTTTAATTTGTCGAATGCGCGAACGTAGATCGAGATCAAATCGTCCGTCGTCGTTTTCCCTCGCGATATGGACAGGCAGGTTCTCGTATAGTTGTTCAAACAGTTCGTATTTCCCCAGACGATTTCCGTATCTCAGCCAGATTGCCTAGAATCGAAGAGGAGGAAACCGCAGATAAGTATAGTAAGATCGCGAGAAGACAAACCTTAGTGAGGATAGTCCTCTCTTTCCCTCTTTTTTTCTTTCTTCCTCGGCGGAAGCTTTATTTTCGGGCTTTTTAAATATACATACTCTGCTCTTTCGGTTTGAACCGAGCTATAGATGCGTTTTTGATACTACACAGAGAGAATTTTCTCTTGGAATTTATCCCGAAAATCATGATAATCGTGGGACAATATGTGGTATTGGAAGAATTTTATTAAAGTTTCTCTGATTAATATTATTTTCATAACATTAATATTAAAATCTGCAATAAAATATAAAATATGTTTATTAATTTTATTATGTACACATTATTATTCTTTATTGTGGTAAATAATCAGAGAAACTCTTATAACATTTTTTCAATACCATATTGGTAATCAACAATTACCATGACGACGGGGTAAATTCTAAGAGAAAATTCTCTCCGCGTGGATACGATAATATCGAGATACAAACTTTAGCAAAAAAGTAAAAAAGTTAAAAATATAATATTTTATCTCTATGATGTAATACATTAAATAGTAAAAAAATTAAGATAGTTTTAACCAACAAAACTAATTACATCATATATTATCATGATAATTTCTTAATATTTATACTGCACATTACCTTTACATAACTTTCTAATATTAATTTATATTATATGTTTATAATATTAAATTATATAAAGAATTTATAATATTTTCAATGTTTGACAAATTAATGAATATCGTGCACAGAGAGATTTTTTTCTTCAAAACCCGCGAAATCATGGCAATCGTGAGACAATATTGAAAGAATTTTATTAGAGTTTCTCTGATTAATATTTTTATCACAAAAAGTGTGAATATCTACCACAATAAGATATAAAATATGTTCGATTAATTTTACTGTGTACATCTTAATATTTTTTATTGTGGTAAATATTAAGCAGAGAAACTCTTATAAAATTCTCCGTGTGTTATATACGAAAAAATCCACGATTCGAGACTTTACGCGTAATTTTCCGCTCGTTACATCGAAGAGGGTCAAGGGAGTAAAATATGATTTACAAGTGAGAAAATATACGATCCTTCTCTCACGTCTACTGCGATCATTTTGCTCGACAGATTTTTTACACAGAATCCTTTCTCTCATGATATCTTGATTTTAAGATTTTTCGAGGATTACGTCCATTTATTTTTCTCCAGCAAAAATTACAGAGGCTATCCTTCGTTTAACGCTCTGTTTAAAAAGAACGTTTTTTTCGCAAAGTTTTTAATTAAAACCCTGATTATACATCGTGCAATATTTTTTTGTGCATCTCGAATATTTTCCATATTTTTTCCCTTATTTGTGAATTTAATTTAAACAGCGGTAAAAAGGAAGTATAGAATGTTTTTTCGCCAGAGGCTCAGAGATTCGCGGAAGGGTTCAATGTTTACGGGAATATTTAATTAACGATGCGTATACGGAATAAAAGAGAGGAAAAAGGAGAACATTCGCTTGGAGGAACGAATCATCGGAAAAAAGTCATCTTCGCGAGATTCGTCGCATGCGGTGATAACTGGGTCGTGCCAAGTTAGAGATCATTCATCCGCGAATAAATACACACATTCACACACACATACAAAAGTCGAGAAAAAGTCCGATTGGGCGGAAGACAGACAGGGCAAAAAGGGATGTACGGACTCGTCTCTTTTTGTTCCTTTCTCTTTCTCTCCCTCGTCTCGTTGAAGATCGAAAATAAAAGCCGCGGTCAACGTGGTAATATTGATTCAGGCCGGACTTGATTCGCGCGAACTTCACTTGAACCGGAACACCGCTGCCGTTTTAACTATCTATCCCAGCTCGTACTTTGTTTTCGGAATTGGTTTAAAAGTCACCGCAGGGAGTTCCCATTTTATCTCGGACCCTGAAAAAAAAAGGGGATCGATCGAACGAAACGTACGCTTCTCGTCGGCCAAGTAAGTAAATTGAAATTAATGCCATTAATTGCAAATAACGATCACGCTGGGATAGTAAATTGGCAGAGGAAACGACGTTCGAATCAAGTTCTCGGACTTGGCGAAGAGGAGATTTTCAGAGACCGACCGCTAAATTCCGTCGCGAAAATAAACATATCTAGTGTCTTCGCTCTCGGTAAAAGACCGAGAAGTGAAACGCGAGCGCGATTGTCGAGGTATAAATTTCATTCGCAAATGTTACGTTAACGATAGTTTTCATGATTTGTCGTGTCGTAAAAATATATTTTCCGTCCCTCATCGCGGATTATTTACAACAGTTGGAGTTTTCGCAACGTTCAATCGAACGCGGTCGCGGATGCAAATTTCATTGTTCCGTAACTTCGTATAACTTCGAATTTTTCAGGGATAGTCATTCATTATTCTCATATACAGAGTGTCCCAGAACTGGCGGAAAAGTTTTTAATGGCAGATTCCTGGTATCATTTGCAGACGATTTTTCTTTAGTGAAAATATTCAGGGAGGCCATCATTTTTAGCATGTTCCCAATTTTCATTACGTATATATATCTTTATAACTTACCTTATATTAAAATTCTATTAAAGCCAACTCTATCTAAAATTAACTGAGGAATGTAGTTCTGTTAATATTTTATTTCCACAAAGCTTAGTTTCCAGAAAAGCTTTTATTTTCAACTGCTTGTAAATCGAAAATTATTGGTGTCACGACATTTTCACTGAGGAAAAATCGTCTCCGAATGATACCAGGAATCTGCCATTAAAAACTTTTCCGCCAGTTCTGGGACACCCTGTATACAACGGGCGCGATTGTTCACACGAGAACGCGTTCGTATATATACTCTTGGAAAGACCTACCTACATGTAGACACAGAAATTGTTATTGCAACTCTGTACAATGACGGCATAGATATTATTCAGGATAGTCTGCTTCGCGATTGCTGATTTCAGTCGACAATGCGCAATCTTCGTGGCATACGTCTAATGAAGGACGCGTTATTATCACATTACATTATTACGTTTTCGTATTACATCGTCACGTAGCTATTTTGCGCGCGAGATTTTCCTCGCGTTTATCGTCACGTATTCTTAAATTTCCAATCGATTTAATCTACACATACACATCTGCGATCGTCGTTCCAATTCACATACAGAGAACTCGTAATATTTGCTGAAATCCCTGAAGCATGACGATTCAGAGTCAATGAAAAAAATTCGAGGAGCAATCGGAAAATATTTCGTCGGAGAAAGATTCGCTCTGTTAAATTAATGAATTGTCATTGAGGCATTTTTTTTTATCACAAAATTAATCGACGAGATAAGGATGAAAATCTGCAATTATTTTTTATTATTACGATTTATTCATTTTTATTTACTTTGGCAGCGTTTTTATAATCTTAATTTATTATTAGAGGCGCAGACGTAATGCAGCAAATTATTATTATTATATGCGATGAATATTGCAAAACTTTCCTGGCAAGTGTCCATAGCTCTCGTTTCGTAATAAATATAAACGTTATATCGATCTTCAAGGAATAGGTCTATCGATTGAACTCAGAGCTGTTCGTGTTTTTACGGAGCCTGTATATATGGTCGCTTTAGTTTTATTTGAAGATTCCGGTGGATGCGTCGCTTCGCGTTTCTGCCAAACGGCATCTTAAATTTTCCATAACCGTAAGAGCTTCCCTTAATAGGCGGGATCGCTTGTACTCCAAGTCCTGAGAATTGATTTCATCAATTCCAGCTCGTCTGCAATTCCACGATTTTAATTAAATTTAATAACCCAGAGATCTCGGTGCTGAATATTTTTGTCCGTGTCGCTTAAACTCGAAAAGTAGTCAGGTTCATTAAATGGAATGAAACGTTCCTTCCGTTGAATAACTATTACATCAAAAATTTCAAAAGTAAAATGTCATTAGACATTAACAGAAATTTGCATTTGAATGCATACATTGAATACAACATAAATTTAAAAAAAAAAAACATTTCATCTCTTAAAGTAAATTTATATTTAGTCTGTGAATTTTTTAAAATAATTTCATCTCCGAACGTATATCTTTAGGATGTAGCTCAATTATTTTAAATGAAATTAGCCGTATGGTGGTGGATTCGCGTGATATTTTTATATACGTTTTGCGTAACGCTGCTGTATTTCATGTTCAGAGATTAAGTTGTAATAATATAAAACGTACGAAGAAAGTAGTACAACAACTCTTACCAACATCGATTTGTCTGGCAGTAAAATAATTCACAATACCCGTCGACTCTGGGAATGACGGCCCAACTTCCGGATGTTGTTGCAGATCCTTGGCGCTAGATGAATTATAGACGTCTCTACTTCGGGAAAACGCCACTCTGTTCCTTTCCTTTCTCATATTTTGTTTATTCCTGCGTGCAAAAAACGTACAGCGTGCAAATATTTATAACTATGTGACCGCGCACGTAAGCAATAACTCATTGCGATAAAATAAATTGAAAAATGCGGTCGATGGAAGATAAATATATGCGCAATTGTAATGTTGCACCGAAAACGAGAATGCACTATTATAGAAATGGGAATGTAATAAATCGAAACGTATATGATAACCACAATTCCTCTTCCCCCTGTCTGTCAGCAAATGTCGATCTCGATTCTCTTAGAGTACGAAGAAGGAAATGAGTCTCATCTGTCATCGGAGATAAATTACGTTTCTTTTTCATAATTATTATTTATGACGAATCAGATTTGAAATGTAACCGCGGAAAAACAATTATAAATAATAATACTCTATCTTTAAAGGACCCCGCACTATAGAATTCAATGGAAAATGAGTGATAGTTGTAACAAAATTATAAATAAATTGTAGTTATTATAAATAGTTATGACACATAATTTTATTAAATTCAAGAACCTCTTACTAATTTTATATAAAATTAAATCGTGGTGAAATCAACTGGTTTTCTTATGTAGCTACAGCTTATCATCCGCCGAACAAAAAATGTAATAAGCTTAAAACTAAATAATAGGTGCTGGTTACTGATTTACAGCCAATTAAACATGAAAAACTCGCGCTTTGCGAGATGTTTAACTGGTTGTAACTCGGTAACTGTCCATTATTTAGCTTTGAGGCTATTACATTTTTTTGACCAGAATATGCTTTAAATTACAATACTATATCAAAAATTTCACCCCAATTCAACGGAAATCCATTTTCCATTGAATTATATAGTGCGAGGTCTTTTCATATAAAAATGTTGATATACATTTGTACATATGTATATACAGGGTGTATCTAAATAAATGCGAAAAATTTTAGGAGGTAATTCTTTTCTAGTCGAAAATTAAAATTAAATATATATATATATTTTTTTTAAATATTAATAAATATCCTTTTTATTAATGGAAAATATTCAATTTTTATTTTTTAATTTGTCTGAAATTTGAGAAAAAAAAATAAAAGTTTAATTTTTAATCAGGAAGGGATGTAAGAGTACGTATATGTTTGTATAAGAAATCCGTCTTAATTTTCGACAAAGAATCATCTAAAATGTTTCACTTATTTAGATGCCCTCTATAAATTTGATATTGTCTCGGAGGAGATGAATTTCTGCTGTCAAGTTGCGAGTGCATTTTTATTTTGACTCGAGGATTGCGACGTAGAATACTATATCCCGTATGTGCGACGGATCTTTAGAATGAGGCCGAGATGTATTTACATACAAGTGAGAAATCCTTGTGATACGCTTATATTACGCGACGTGCGAATAACGGCGTCAATAGGTCAGAGGTGCACGGAAAGTACGGGGAGAGATCGACGGGAGATCCGCGTAACGAGAGAGGGAACGTAACCGCGTGTGCGTTCCTAAAAAAAGAAAAGGAAGGAAGGAAAAACGGATAAATCGATTGACTAAATTAACGCCGGCTTGTGGAACGAGGCGCGCTTAAATAGCGCGTATGCAAAGTTGTTGCACGACGTTCCTGAGGAAGAAGGAGGGACCAGTTCGCGAATCTCGATCCTCGACCAGTGTTGGGTAGTATCTAGATACATTTTGTGTATCTGAGTCTGTGTGCTTTTTTCAGATACATTTTCACATATTTTTTTAATAGCCCAATTCTTTAAATTTTAAAAGATCAAGACTGCAAGTTATTAACATATCCAATGTTGGGTAGTGTCTATAGATACATTTTGTGTATCTGAGTCTGTATCTGAGATATATTCGAATTGAAGTATCTATATCTAGAACAAAACATGATATCTGTGTGTGTGTGAATTGCTTTTTTCAGATACATTTTCACATATTTTTTTAATAGCCCAATTCTTTAAATTTTTAAAAGATCAAGACTGCAAGTTATTAACATATCCAATGTTGGGTAGTGTCTATAGATACATTTTGTGTATCTGAGTCTGTATCTGAGATATATTCGAATTGAAGTATCTATATCTAGAACAAAACATGATATCTGTGTGTGTGTGAATTGCTTTTTTCAGATACATTTTCACATATTTTTTTAATAGCCCAATTCTTTAAATTTTTAAAAGATCAAGACTGCAAGTTATTAACATATCCAATGTTGGGTAGTGTCTATAGATACATTTTGTGTATCTGAGTCTGTATTTGAGATATATTCGAATTGAAGTATCTATATCTAGATACAAAACATGATATCTGAATTGCTTTTTTCAGATACATTTGCAGATACATTTTCACATATTTTGTTGAATAGTCCAATTCATTAAATTTTTAAAAGATCAAGACTGCAAGTTATTAACATATCCAGTGTTGGGCAGTATCTAGATACATGTATCTAAATACAGTATCTAGATACATTTTGTGTATTTGAGATATATTCGAATTGAAGTATCTCTATCTGTATCTAGATACAAAACATGGTATCTGAATTGCTTTTTTCAGATACATTTGCAGATACATTTTCACATATTTGTTTTTAATAGCCCAATTCTTCAAAAGATCAAGACTGCAAATTATCAACATATTGTCAACAAAACAGGTTGAGCGATTATTAAGCATTGGTCAAATAGTACCATGGCGAAATAGTTTGAGTAAAAATATTAATAAAGATGTCCCATCTTTTCAGTCAAATTCAGTACATTTTGTGCATATTACCATTATTATCATAAAATATAATTTATAAGTATCTGAGATACTTTTCAAGTATCTGAGTACCTGTCATCTACATATACATTTTAATTTGTGTATCTGTATCTAGATACAGATACATGTATCCTACCCATCACTGTTCTCGACTAATCGATCTCGAGACTTAGAACGCGGTATGTATTAACCATCTAGTCCTTTAGTACAGGACATTGTCGTCTCGCGAAGGAGAAAAGTTATCTCCTGACGAAGGACTGGCTCGTTGCCAAGCACGTTGCAAGAATTCGCCGTCTTTGTCCCGCGGGCTCCTCCTCCAGCATCCAAGGAGTTGTCGACCTATTCTATTCTGACGACGATCGTGTTGTCCTTTCGGACGTAATGACGTTTGCAAACACAGCCTGCCAACCGAGAACCCGTCGGCTATTCCGCGACGGCGTTGAATCGACGAGAGAATCGGAATATCGGAGGGAATTATTTCGCGCTCCTTCTGCCTCTCAATAAAGTCTTTGTGAAATGACGAATAAAGCGCACTTTCGAGCGCGCGAGATCGAGAGATATTATTTAAGAATTAATAATAATTAATAGATACAATATAATATATAAATGAAATATATATATTATATAAATAAATAATATATATAATACTGTGTAAATAAAATATTAAGCGAAAATTAGTGTAATAATGTTGATTCATATTAATAAATTAATAATATATGAGTTAGCAATAAATTATAACAGTTATAGCGAGTATTATACGAACATACGTTCGATTGTAAATATTGCTTAATTACATTATTCTGATCTCGATGAAATTTTAAGAACGAACGATCGATATATTAGACGATCTGAAATAATTCTACATAAAGTTGGCATTTGCAAATTATATTGCAAGGATGCAGCAAGCACGCGAATTCTCTCAGGAATACAACAATAATCTCTCTACGTGTCTTAATAAATCGTAACGGGATTCGTATATATGTGCAAGTCCGCGTAAAATCGTCCACAAAGTCAAGTATCATAAAAACGCGACAGAAAAATTTATAGATCTGTAGCAGGCTCGAGCTCCTATATATTTTTTTAGTCCTTTCAGTCCCTTAAGGTTTAAAATTTACGACATTGTATCTCTCGCGTTGCGCCTCGGATGATGAAAAATCGTGGGGCGAGAAACAATAAAAGTGAAACGCGGCCGGGGTAGGGTTGCTCTTTCTCTCTCTCTCTCTCTCTCTCTCGAAGGGTTCAAATGAATTTTAACAAATGGAACGTTTGTCCCATCCGGTGATCGGGTCTCACCTGTACGCGCTCTCATTGATCGAGTACTCCGATTCTTTCGAGAAATTGCACATTCGACCATCCAAGTGGATAATGTACGAGCAGGAGGCCACGGCCGCCTCGAATGACTCTCCAGCTGGAACAAATTTTATCGCCGTTTTTTGCACCATAGTACGATTCTTTCAAGAGCACGTTCGAGCATTAGATTCTTGTTAGACTATCTAAAATTCATTTAGATAATAGTTCAATATTTTTTTAATCTTAGAATTAACAGAATTGCCATTTCTTCAGAACTTTTTTACGATTGTTAAGTAATACAAGCACTACTTTCGAATTAATTTCGTGATTCTCATTTCGATCTCTCTATTGATATATATATATATATATATATATATATATATATATATATATATATAAATATTAATATATATAAATCTCTATTAATATATATAAATATTTATAATTACATAATTTTGTAAAAAATGGAAGAGAGCTTTTTTTACACGATTATTTCGATCATAGATGACGTGTTGATTTATCAGATATATCTTTCCTCTTGAAGCTTCTCTTATTGAATTATATTATCACGAGAAGAGTATTTTCAAAGAAAATAGATTTGATATAGAAATCAAATTTTGATAAAATACCAGTCAATCCAAAATTGTTGTTCGATACATCAAGAGATAAGATTTTGAGCTCCACACAACCTGAAGCTAAGACTCCTGCGAGCGCTATACCGGCTTCAGATGTTAATCCACATCCGCTGATGTTCAAAGTTTCCAAAGTTTTGTTTCTCACCAGAACTGCAATAATAAAAAAATGACAAGTTAATCAAGCAAATGTAAATGTAGAGATTTTCTGAGATGAAAAGCGTTATTTTCGCAAGAGTTTTATTCAGTGTTGTGCTTAGATGATTTTAAAATTAGTTAGATAAAGATGAGATAAAAATATGTAAATTCATTTTAGATAAGATGAAGATGATTTTGTTTTAAATATATCTAGATTAATTTTCTAGATAATAATTTTTAAGACTGCTTATATAAACACAGTTATAAAAAAAGTTAAAAATTATAAAAAGGATATAAAAATATATGTATTCATATTTTTATTTATAAATTTTTACTGCTTAAGTTTTATTGTTAAAGTAATTTTATGTGCTATGATTCTAAATCAAAATTACCTGAAAATTATTCTAGATAATTTTGCAAAAATAATTTTTTCTATCTAAGATGCAGATATAGATAATACATATTTTTATTATCTATATAAAAATAAGATGACGCCAAAGTTTTATTTAGATGATCATGTATATAATTTTATTTTGACAACAGCAAACACTGGCCTTATTATTAGCGCGATATAAAAAATAGAGTGGAATCATCCTGAAATTAATTACTATTCAGCTATTAAATTTAATTTTCCCTCCGATTATATAATCTGAACGGCAGTCGAAGTTTTTTAACGACCCCCAGAAAAACTGTCAGGCTCGAAAATTAACGCTGGATGTATCTTTTGAAAGTTTTTATTCATACATGCAAAATTGATTGCACAATTTGGATAATGAGCACGGCCCGTGTATTGCACATCCGGGAACATACATACACATACGTGTATATATCTCTGAAAAATTGCGACAGGTGATTTTGCACTTTTAATGGCGAGTGCTATTGCCCTTTCATGCATTTTTATATATGTAATGGGAGTTTCGGTCACGTTCCGCGCGCCATAACATGCGATCTGTATGCACGCGCATGCCGCGATTTGCTATTCAGCTGGCATTTCTTTAAATAATTCAGCATGCCGCTTATGCCACGCTTTCTCGACTCGCGGGTCGATTATGCTATGCTAATGTTTCGAGATTATATGGAATTCAGCTATTTCTTTTAATTGTCAATGGGGAGCAGCAACTCGCGACCTTGTCTCCTAGAAGAGATCATAGATAGAGCATTCCGTTCTTTCGGTTTACGTACTATCAGGGCGACACGACATATCCATTGTTTCAAAGTAAAATTCAAGATAAGAATACCTTTTGCACTTGGAATTTTCAGCGTTACATTTTCATATCTATAAGCATTTTCCGCGCGTAAAGTAACGTTATCGATTAAATTTCGCAAAGATACATATTAAAAGACGCGTAATTTAATTTCGTTTTTCGAAATAATGAAAAAAAAATATTCACCGACACTTGCTATCTACCTCTGTGAGAATTATATTCGAGAATACAGAACGTATAAATTTTTCGTCGATCCGATTTTATTCATTTGATCATATATATATACGTATGATAGATATCGGCTATTCGAGAGAGAAAGAGAATGGAATATGAAGAATTTTCCATTATTTGGCGAGAATGCAACGCATTCATATATACACGAACGCCACGAATAAAGCGGCACTACACGCAACATTAAATTTCAATTTACTTCGGCGTGCTTTATATTATCCAAGCACTAAATTCCACGGCAAACAAATGGATAATTTCCGGAGTGGCGCTACGTTCTCAAAGAAATAAAATAATCGTCCATATATATTGTTGTTTTAAGATAAAGAAACGGGAAGAGAATCGTTAAATTTAATCGTGCGTCTATATATATTTACACTCATCGCTTTATTTCTCTCCTGACAAGATAATTACGTTACAACGTAGGTGATGAATTGAGCACTGAATTGTTTATAGAAAATTACATACATATATACATATACGTGCTATTTAAAACGGGCAACTAAAAATTGAAACATCGGAAGAGTCCAAGTACGCACTGAAAATTTATTATCTCGCACATTTCTCGATTTTATCAAAAGATAGATCTGAAAGTTACCTAAGACTTATCTAAGAGTTTATAAGTTAGGGGATACATAATCCGACAGTAAATTTTAATGCATTTGCTAGTTCACTGCTAAGCCATTATATTCATGTATTTTCCGCGACGGAAAAAGTTCCCGAAGACTTTTTTAAAACTCGTCGATCTTTTCATCGCGAACCTACCCTAGCTCAAAGAAACGAGTTAGATTCTTTGTTGATATACGGAATATTTTATTCAAAGTTTCTCGAGGCCAAACAATATTTTAATCGCGAAACTTTTTCTATATTTTCTTTATCTTACAGATCTGGGAAGAAAGAGAGAAATGACTAGTCTTCTTCTCTCTCTTTCTTAAGTCTAAAATTAAATTGTTAAATTGTTGACTTCATTATCAGCTTCTCAGGAAATAAGCAAGGTATCTAGCGATCAGAGAAATCTGGAAAACCGGGCATTGTCAGGGAATTTTATAAATCTGGAATTCTCGGTGAAAAAAAGACAGGTTTTACTACTTATCTGGATTCTTTCACATTATTCTACATTTGTCTCAATAATTTGAAATTTTTTATTAAATAAATATAAACTTTTTCTTGACTCCCAGCACGCTAATTTTTGTGCTGTTAAAAATCGATTCATCCACAACGTGTTCGTTAGTTTATATTTTCATCGTCGTATTATTTTATTTCAATGTGTTTGATAGAGACAAAACTAAAAAAATTTAACATAATGCAGATTGTATAATTGATTTAAATTTTTTTTAAGTTCCGAACCCTTTTATTGACAAAAATATCTCAAGGATTTCATGATTTAACATTTAATTGATTCCTCGTATAGATATATGCAAATGATATATTTGGAAAAAATAATACTAAAAAGTCCGGGCAAAAATTAATTTCTGGAAAATCTGAAAAAGTCAGGGAACTTTTTCATTGAGTCTGTTGGACACCCTGATAAGGATATCTACCTTTAAATTTGACAGAATTTCGCTTTCTTTTCTCTCGAAAATATTCAGCATTGTCGCTTGATGTATGATCGATATGATCGATGAAAAAGGCGGCATTAGGAAAACGCTTACGTGGACTTACGAGCGCATACGTGATGGGCTCCCTCGTCTAGCAGAGGGTTCAGTCTGAGGTCGAAATTTTTCAGAGCGCACGAACTCGCCTTCAATATTCCATGAACGACGCCGGCCACTCCGATCGGTCCTATGTTGTTGTTCGTCAAATGCAGAGTTCTCAATTTCCGATGCATCGACAGAAATTCGCCCACTGCGTGCGCACCGGTGTCCATCAAATTGCAATGCGACACATCCAGTTCTTCGATCTATATCGGAGAAAAAGGGAAAGAGAGAGCGAGAGAGAGAATTGTGAAACACGTATTTTGCATTGTGTGCGAATTGTATATATGTATATATATATATATGTATGCGCGGTGAGTGAATTGAATAAAATTCCACCATTTGCAGCGAAAAGAGAAATTGTGACTATATCGTTCTCCAAATATTATCTATAGCAATAGATACTGATAATAGATACTGAATGGCATCTATTACCTTGCATATAATGGATACTGAATAGATAACAATATAATAGTTAGGTGGTGTCTGGCGATAGTTTTAGATGATGTCAGGGCGTAATTCTAATAAGGCTTCTAGTGGATCTTAACAAAGGATCTTTATTAGTTAATCTGTACTCGATAGGACACGCACGACGGCTCACTTAACTTTTTAATCTAAATGAATATCGGTAAGAGAATAATAATTCGCCTACAGTCGGCCAGCCTGACATTACGACCGTCTCGTCGTACGTATAGGAACAAAACGTATTAAGTAAATATAGCACTTTACTTTCTCTCTCATTTGTGGGAACCAGTAAATTGCCTAATGTTAGCAATAACTTTATCGAGGCCGACATGGCCAATGTCATCATGACACGTATACGGATTACATTCTTTCCATTGATATCGGTACATAAAATAAGAGTTTTTTACCCTTATCTTTACGGTAAACAAGACCGTCTCGCAATTCAAAGAATTTATCCTCAGATTTTCTAATTTATTTCGAATGTTTACTATATTTACATCCCGATCTTGTTGAATAGATAAAGTTCGGTCGAACGAATTTGCTTCTAATGTCAGAATGCTATGACATCGACTCAACGCGTCGACATGATTCATCTGTGTACCGGGTCGATGTACGATTTGATAACAGTATTGCTCTAAAAATAATGCCCAACGATATATTCGCGGATTAACTGTCTGTTTACTTAAGTCGAGACTACTAAAATATTTTTTTCCTTTTAACCGATCAATATGATCATCTATCAACGGTGTGGGAAAATTGTCTTTCACAGTAATCTTATTTATTTCACGGAAGTCGACACACAGTCGTGACTCGCCATTTTTCTTCCGCACGAGAACGATTGGGCTAGCGTAGGGTGAATTACTCTGCCTAATTGTACCTGTTTTCAATAAGTCGTCTAATATTACTTGCAACTTTTCTTTATCGGCATACGTTAAACGCCTAGGCCGGAAGGTAATCGGCTGTTCATTTTTTAATAAAATTTTCATCTCGGTTTCCGGTTCGCTCGCATCCGAATCCCATTTATCAACGTATTCTTTGTTATACAATCTTCGAACGCTTTCGACTACATGCGATTCGACACCGGGATTAATATTCAATTCTTCTCCAACTTTTACAGGATTTTCGAGATATTCTATTTGCATAATCTCGGTATCAAAATTGTTCTCGCTTGTCGACTCGTTTCTCCTAGTAATCTTTACCGTTTTACCTAGTTCGATTTTTATTAACGGATCTCGACAAAAATCGCGACCAAGTAATGCCGCACACGACATTGTTTCGTTCGGTACTACCAGAAAACGTAGCTGAATATTAATTCTTTCGATTTCGACTAATTTCGAAAAGGTGCCTATTACGCGAACAGGGGATTTATTTACTCCACAGAAACAATCGCCGTTAGGAGGTAGCGGTTCGCGCAAACTCGTCGGAACATACTCAGTTTTTATGAGGCTCACTGGGGAGCCGGGATCAACTATCGCGTCTACTGTATATTCACGATCCATATCCCCTTCAAAGGACACCGAAAACTTTAACTGTACACAATACGGATCGCTAACGGGTATCGGTTCGATCAAGTTCACAACGTTCGTCGACTCGGGTTTCGACTCTTTCTCGGGACAGTCTTTTTTCAAGTGGCTGGCTGAACCACATCGATGACAGCCTCCCTTAACTTTCTTCGGGTGTGAACATGCGGATGCCAGATGTCCAACTCCCTGGCAGTTATAACATTTAATTATCTTTCGGCGTGGTGCCAAATCTGCACTCGACGATGCTGGATTTCCTTTAAACGCTGAACTCTCCTTCGTCGACAATTTCCCATCCTTTTGGATTTTTCCTTGATCAATAGGTTTCTTCCATTCGCGATCAGGGAACTTCTTCGGGTGTAGCGTCAATCCTTTAAATGCCTCCAATAAATCCGACTGAGACTCGAACTGCATAATACGTGCTTGATCTCTGAGATTGCGATCAGGTATACCCTCGATGACATAATCGACAACTTCGTCATCTACTATCGGTACCCTATTAGCGAGGATTATTTTATCATGGAAGTAACTCGTGAATGATTCGTCCGTCCGCCATGCTCTCTCTTCGAGCTTCTTGCGTAGGGACAATCTTGATTGACGAAGGTCGAACATTCCCTTCATGGCCGCCAATAGATTTTCTATACCAAGGGTAAGATGATGTGGTTTGGAGTGAAACCACTCGGATGCACGTCCTTTTAATTTAGAGCTTATTAAAATTCTTGTCGCCGCATCATCCAAGGCGTACGACACTCGCAGCAATTGTACCTGCTGTTCCCATTTCCAGAACGTACCCTCACTGCCGTCGAATTCGCTCAACAAGTCGCGAATAGCCCTTACACTTTCGCTCATCGGTGGACCATTACGTCTTCTTCCGCCATCATTCATCTGCGGTGCTCCATGATCTTCGATGTTCTCTCGTCTAACGATATCTAATTCACGTTGAAGAAGAGCTCGTTCTCTTCTAAGTAGTTCATTTTCTCGTCGAATCAAGTCATTCTCAGTCAAAGGACCTTCAACGGATGCGTCGTTACTTACTTGGCTTTCATTGTCCTTGCCCGCGACGGCATCCCTCGATTCATGGCCCGCGTCAATCGGCTGATCGACACCGCGGCTCTGCCGTGACCTCTGTTCATCCAGTGTGGTCCATATCTCCGGGTCATTGGCAGTCAATCGATCTATCAGGTCAGCTTTGTTACCGGTCGCCGGCAACTTCTTCTCGCGGAGAATGTCCTTAATCTCGGCAAGCGTATACGCACTCGGCGGTCTCGCCATTGTTAGCGACACACTGCACTTCCCTTTTCTATACGTCCTAGCACACAGCGACGTGTTAATAAATGTTTAACCTCAGTCAAAATGTTCGCGACACACGTCGGCACAATTAGCACACAGCAAAGATTCGCGGTACACAGCGCGAATTACCGTCAAAATATTCGCGACACACAGCGCGGAATATTCTATCTCACAGGGATATCGCGTTACGCGTCGATTCACCGCGCGCGATACGTGGACTCGCTTTCTCTCGTACGCGGCGGAACAATTAGCACGCAGCAAAGATTCGCGGCACACAGCGCGAATTACCGTCAAAATATTCGCGACACACAGCGCGGAATATTCTGTCTTTTCAGCACGCAGCAAAGATTCGCGGCACACAGCGCGAATTACCGTCAAAATATTCGCGACACACAGCGCGGAATATTCGGTCTTTCAGCACGCAGCAAAGATTCGCGGCACACAGCGCGAATTACCGTCAAAATATTCGCGACACACAGCGCGGAATATTCTATCTCACAAGGATATCGCGTTACACGTCGATTCACCGCGCGCGATACGTGGACTCGCTTTCTCTCGTACGCGGCGGAACAATTAGCACGCAGCAAAGATTCGCGGCACACAGCGCGAATTACCGTCAAAATATTCGTGGCACACAGCGCGGAATATTCTGTCTTTTAGCACGCAGCAAAGATTCGCGGCACACAGCGCGAATAACCGTCAAAATATTCGTGGCACACAGCGCGGAATATTCTGTCTTTTAGCACGCAGCAAAGATTCGCGGCACACAGCGCGAATAACCGTCAAAATATTCGTGGCACACAGCGCGGAATATTCTGTCTTTTAGCACGCAGCAAAGATTCGCGGCACACAGCGCGAATAACCTTCAAAATATTCGTGGCACACAGCGCGGAATATTCTGTCTTTTAGCACGCAGCAAAGATTCGCGGCACACAGCGCGAATAACCTTCAAAATATTCGTGGCACACAGCGCGGAATATTCTGTCTTTTAGCACGAGCAAAGATTCGCGGCACACAGCGCGAATAACCTTCAAAATATTCGTGGCACACAGCGCGGAATATTCTGTCTTTTAGCACGAGCAAAGATTCGCGGCACACAGCGCGAATAACCTTCAAAATATTCGTGGCACACAGCGCGGAATATTCTGTCTTTTAGCACGAGCAAAGATTCGCGGCACACAGCGCGAATAACCTTCAAAATATTCGTGGCACACAGCGCGGAATATTCTGTCTTTTAGCACGAGCAAAGATTCGCGGCACACAGCGCGAATAACCTTCAAAATATTCGTGGCACACAGCGCGGAATATTCTGTCTTTTAGCACGAGCAAAGATTCGCGGCACACAGCGCGAATAGCCTTCAAAATATTCGTGGCACACAGCGCGGAATATTCTGTCTTTTAGCACGAGCAAAGATTCGCGGCACACAGCGCGAATAGCCTTCAAAATATTCGTGGCACACAGCGCGGAATATTCTGTCTTTTTACTCGAGTAACACAAGACACGGTTTTCTCTGCATCGACCACAACACTTGGTCGTACTTTTCAAAGTCCCGTGTATCTCTCGTGCGTGTATTAACCTCACGGATCCTTCGCTAACTTCTTCTTCGATCCCACTTCTGAAGTTGTAGGTGGTGTCAGGATAGTTTTAGATGATGTCAGGGCGTAATTCTAATAAGGCTTCTAGTGGATCTTAACAAAGGATCTTTATTAGGTTAAACTGTACTCGATAGGACACGCACGACGGCTCCACTGCCGTATATCTAAATGAATATCGGTAGATAATAATTCGCCTACAAGTTATTGAACGGTATCTGGCGATAGATACTGAAACGGTCAGACAGTATCTATTATTTTTCGTTTGTGTTTTCACGATGAAAAAATATCGAGGCAGATAACATTTGCAGGCGCGACTTCAATTAACTTTTTTTATAAAAAAAAAATTAATAAAATAAAATAAAAATGTGTACCTTTAAATCTTGAATCGACTGTAACGCGGCTTATACAAGGAAATTATTCACTAACATTATCGTTCGATACTATTCCTTGAAGAATAGCAGCGATTCGGGGCCCGATCCAAGTTGCTGCGGTGTTAAACTGAATTTCTTCAGTTTTGGGGTAGCTTTAATTCCTTCCCCAGACTTATGCAATCCTCCAGGGAGAATCTGTTCGAGCGATAAATCCCCTTATCGATTGTATATCCTGAACACGGGAATGAATTCTCCTCCAGCTCGCTAAACTTACTCGAAATCCCGCCACTCAAAACCGTCGTCCATGTAAATCATACCAAAGTTGAGGTAAATTTCGGTGAGGTGTGAAAATTGCGGTAGTATAATTGCCATATGAATGTGATGTGCGATGTCCTCTTCCAGAGCAGATTCGTCGTCCTCGTCGTCGACTCGCTTGATCTGTTTCCTGTAAATAATTTCGGATAATGCGGATATAACACCGAACGCGATCCAATCAATTTTTTTTGTCGACAAACGCGTAACGAAGCGCGGTGTAATGAAATGAAATTTTCGACGTAGGAGTAAATATGACAAAATCTGATGATGAATTTATTTTTTATTAAAAAAAAAAAAAAATAGATTTTCCCGCTAATTATTTATTAATAAAATATCGCTGGACGTTTTGACAAGAGTTTACCGGGAAGCGATTAAAAAAGTTTTAATTTCACGATAACTCTTCATTATAATTCCACCGCTGTGTATTTATGCGCTTGTCATATTTATCCCGAGTTTTTTTACATTATACGCCCGTATATATGCGTGTATAAATCAAGCCTCAACGAGGGATGGAAAGAGGGAGGCGCGCGTATATTTTTAATACGGGAAAAAATATTTTACGTACTCTCGCGTCGCGTAATAACTGTCGGCGTGTGTAACTGTTCAGCGTATGCAAAAAATTAGTCCGAGTGTCGTTACTCAACGGCGATTTATTCGCGGGACAGTTAATGTATTAGAGCGAGAGTCGGGGCGGCTTTGATCAATATTGGACGATGATTTACGCTATACACACGTATGCATCGCGTATGTAGAGGCACGATAGCACGATAGTTCGCAGTGAATAATTGAAGAACACGCACATGCCTAGCCATATTAACCGCCAACGTATTGATGGAGATATATGTCGGATGTACTAGATTGATACGAAATGGAATTTCATGTATAATGAAATACGTATGCATTGAAAGAATTCATATGTTCGAGAGGTTTGTGTACATTAATTAATGTAACATATTATTTACGTCTGTCAGGAATAACATTTTGCGCCGTGTATGTATTTTTCAAAGAATATTTGTCACTATTTAAAACAGATATTAAATATAGTAACATATCTTTGTAAAGAATTGTCTCTAATGTGAGCTTCTTTATTTTTATTGATTGCTAAAATTGCTTTGTCAATATTTATTTTTGTTCAACTATTTAAATTAGAGAAAATATTGTCTTTTCATTCCGATTACATAATTGTTTTCATGAAATATTGGATTTTTTTAATTGCGTGAAATTATTAATTATTTTAATTAATTTGCTTATTCTTTAAATTGAATTAAAAAAGTCCTTTTCTACAAATCAAAATATTTAGTTGAGAGTTCAAAAATATTTACTTTAAATTATGTAAGATTTACATGGTATTTTTTCACGCCTTCTTTTTATACGTGTTACATAAAAGACACTTTTGAAATATATGTATATTTTGCTTATAGCTATTGACTCTGAATCGAGGAATTAAAGGGAAGAAATAAAATTCAGATATGTCGCGATAAAAAAAATCCATTCGCAGTCCAAATAAAAGCGGAGATAAATCTTACTAGCGGATTTACGGATCGCTCTAAAAAGGGAGCAGTCCGGTGTGATCTGAGAAAATTACTTTCCTTGAAATCTCTCGTGGCTTCTAATTAAATGAGACTCCGATCCCCATGTTCGCCTTCGTGGATAAGACTTCTCTTTGCTTGCAACTTTGCTTATTAAAAACGTATACGTTACGCGTAATGAGGCGCTTCTTAAAATTATTAATGCGCCGAATCGCAAAAAGATTTTCAGAAAAAGATCCATTATCAGTTTAAATTGGTTTTAAAGTTTGAAAGTTTCGACGCGAGTTAGAATTGTGTAGAAACATGCACAAAGAATAAAAGTGGATTTAAAGCAAATAGAATTGTCAAACGTTTTATATATATATTGTAATTTTGATAAAAATCATTATTTTAAAGTGAAATGTTTTGATATTTTTAGCTGCAGTTTTAAGTCAATTTTGTTTTAATATATTTATGAATCAAACTCAATTGCCGAGAAAAATGTTGAAAATATTAAAATGGTAAAAAGGAATAATGGGGTTATCACACGGACAAATATTTATCTTATTTCATTTAAAAAATAAAATTTTTCCTAAAGAAGAAATGATGTACCTACAGTGCCCTTTTCGTTGTAATAAAGGTTAGTAACGCATACAAAATAAAAATTATATTTTTAAACTTTGCATAAAGTTCGCCATTACTATACGCTTTTCAACGTTAATAATATCTGAATCCTGTAAAATTTCGCGTGTATGTAAAAGTTAATTAATTTTTTTGTTCTGGAAAGAGTAAGAGAGAGTATGAGAAACCATTTCACTTATTCCGTCCGGGATTAGTTTCGCAAGCGCTATCGCGGAATTCTTTCCCGTATTACATACCTGTTCCAACTTCGTTACAGCGGCAATAAGAGACCATCTCCATTCCGCCGACTCTACCACCGTAACTATGTAAATTTACCTTCGGTACTTTTAAACAGTGCCCCTGTTCTCAACAACATTTTATAAATGTGGCCATAAAAGGAAATGAAATAAAACTGGGATGACAGAAAACATTCTTTTCGGTGCGCACGTTCACAAAAAACGCTTCAAATATCATCCCGCTTTTTTCCGAACATATACTAGAAATTTCGCACACACCACACACACACACACATATATATATAATCGAAATTACACAATACAGGAAAAAATTCCGCTCGCGAGATTTTTGATATCTATTAGTTTGTAATACATCATTATTTATATTTATATTTTTGAGATATATATATTAATATATAGGGTATTTTCAGGTCATTAATAATTACGTTTGCATGTGTAAGAGTAGTACCATAATTATTAATTAAATATAAATTCACGGTGAGATTATAAAAAAGGGGAAATGTCCTGCTCATAGATTCCCCTGTCGTAACTTCCGTCTGAATTATTTTCTACTTTGTAAGTAAACGCTTGTTAGCCAGTAGAATCAACTGTCACACATATCAGCCTGGCCGCGTTATGTTGTAATTTCGCGCGAAAATTTACACCGCTCGGGTTCTAAAACTGCTAAACGGCCGCGGCAAATTGCTAGCGTTGTATATCCCGCTGCGTATAATTAGAATCCTTAACACGCCTTAACAAGTTTATTCGCCCGCGAGTTCGTCACGTTTAGATTTTGATAAACTTGGCGTGGTAAGCACAGATTTGCATATAAGTATAGCTTTTAATAATCGCAGGAACGTGTTCGCTCGATAACTCGAATGAAGGTGATGTTATAATTGTCAAATTAATATTAAAATTATAATTGTGAAAGATCGAAATCTCTTCCTTAATAGAAAATCTTGAGAGACACAAGTAGCTTTTATGCAATACAATTCTGTGGATAAATATTTTTTTGCGTGACGTAATATTTCACATGGAGGAATCTCTCGATGCACGTCAGTTCCGAGATTTTTCGCTGAACGACGTAGCGACGTCGAAAGTTTTCGAAATGGAATGAAAGCAATGTGGGAGTTCCAAACAGAGAGGAAAGAGATTGAATCTCTTTCGAAGGTAAACAAACGAATCGGTCGCAAATATTCACGCATAGCAGTAAACGAAGGCACTGTATATCCGCCAATTGAGTAAAACTGATTGGCAGTGTCAGGAGAGAGACAGGACAATCCGTTTGATCTCCCAGGCGGTTGGAACTCGCACTTTGTAGAACTCAATTTGGAGCCCACGTTGATAGATAGGTTTTAAATAGCTACTGCTAATTTGGAGACTAATTCAGGGTGTCTAGCGGTCAGGAAAATCTGGAAAACCCGGCATTGTCAGGGAATTTTAGAAATCTGGAATTGTCAGGGAAAAGTCGCGAAATTTTACTATTTATCTGGATCTTTCACAATATTCTACATTTGGCCCAATAATTTGAAATTTTTTATTAAATAAATATAAACTTTTCCTTGACTCCCAGCACGCTAATTTTCTATGTTGTTAAAAATCGATTCATTTACAGCGTGTTTGTTAATTTATATTTTTATAGTTGTATTATTATATTTCAATAAAAAAGGTGATTATTTAAATAGTTTATAGTGGCATGTTTGTTTCAATTATCATACATAATGCAGATTGTATAATTGATTCAAATTTTTGTTTTAACTTCTGAACCTTTTCATTGTTGACAAAATATCTCACGAATTTCATGATTTAACATTTAATTGATTTATTATATAGATATCTGCAAATTATATATTTGGAAAAAATAATACCAAAAAGTCGGGGAAAAAATAATTTCTGGTTTTGAAAAATCTGAAAAAGTCAGGGAATTGTTTTTAGTGAGTTTGCTGGACACCCTGTTGAAGACTAATTTCCCCATGGGTATTTGCCCTTTGGAATCATTAAAAAAATTAAGAATTGACTCTCTCCTTTTGAATACATGAATTTATATATATTATACTAGAATTTATTTGCATATTTAATGTAAAAAAAATAAAATTCAAGAAAAAATAAAAAATGAAAGACAAAAAAATGAATGATGCTCCCTCCTGGGAAAATTTCTGCGGACGCCCATGAATTTTGGATGTCGCGACGACATTGCGATTCAAATCGAGAGAGATCGACTCCGATATATCCGCGATTTTCCGAGGTGTGTATCTATGGGTGCGATTATAATTGGCCTCCTAGATACTCCGGCCAATTATAGAACCGGCCGCCACGCTTTCGCGCGATATTTACACGCGGGAGTCCATCGCACTTCTCCGGATCTTCAAGTGCAAGCACTTACAGTTTTAGCCGACAAACTGACCGCCTCTAATAATAATTCTCGAATCTCTCGGCCGGGCGTAAATACCACGTTTATAAGCGCGAATTGCGATTGAGAACGATATGTGAGCGCAGATATCTGTGCTAACTATTCGACGCGATATGATCCATAAATACAGATTAATTTTTCATCAGCAAGTCTCTCGGCAAATTTTCGTGCATCTGTACTTTAACGAAATCCGTCTGTGAAGAGATATTCATGATATCTGACTTTGAAGTTATAATTAGGAAGATGAAGCTTCTGCTTCGAGATATAAAATTTAGAATAATTACTGTAAATTTTTCACTCGCGTTTCATGAAATATGTATTATAAAATAAAAAGGTCAAGATTCAACAAAATTTTGAGTAAAAGTTTATGATGAATAAAATTAATGAATGATACGAAAAATGAATGAATAGAATACGTAAAATTTTTGTACAGTCTCCTTTTAGAAAATTGTTCAAGATGTACGTAAATGTCAATTTTTTTACGCACATAAATCTTCATGAGAAGACCGCAAATCTGTTTCTCCCAACTGTGGATACACACAGTTGTTCTGGTTTACCTGTGATTGTTTTCTCGCGCACAAAAATTAGTTGGAGAATTCGGTAAGTGAACTCGTCTTACTTGGTTGGCACGAGAGAGCGAAGTCTTACGACGTGTATGTAGTCCTTGAGGAGAGTCATTAGGTTCTCGCATTCCTCTCTTTGGGCCTCGAAGTAGCTCGCGTGCAAAGTTTCCAGATATTCGGCCAAGTGGCGCTCGCAATATAATCGTCGCCATGAACCGCCGTATTCGTTCGGATCATTGTGTTCCCACCTGCGTTAATAGAGAAATTTAATTGCTCGAACACGTGTTTTTAATGTCAATTTATATAACTTCGAACATTTTCAATTAAATACAAAATCAGGGAAAGAGCTAATAAAAGCTCTAGACTACGTAACAAAAACTTTTTTTTAAGTCTCCTCTAATCATTTTAAACGTTTCCATTCTTTCTTTAGACCATCTTCAGCGGATCGACTCGAAAGAAAATGATGAATAATATTAGTCGATACCTGATTTAGTACTTATTATAGAACCTTTTCAATTTCTAATTAAGAAAAATAAAATTGTGTTATATTTTTACGAATAAATATCTTCGTAAAAATAAAAACATTTTAATTATATAAATGTCATCTAAGACAGCTAAAACCACAGAAATTAAAACGAGACAGATTATTAAAAGATTAAGATAATATTAAAATCTGACCAACTGAAAGATGAGAAAGGAAGAGAGATTGAGATAAGATTGAGATCAAATTAGGGTCAATTAACGTTGAATAAATTGGACCGTAATTAAAATGTGTAATTACGACTTCACGTAGGATTTCACGCGATAATAGTACCTACTCGATCTCTCGTGCTAAATTTTGCGTATAATCTCGATAGATCGACAGACAAGCACATTATCTACCTGTACAATGACCATTCGTCCTTTATTTCAGATAATAGTTCTTTTTTTCAACTAAGCTATCCTTTTCAGATTTATTCATTTTTTCAAAATTTAATTTTGTCCTTTATATTCCAATTTTATTCTTTATTTTTTATTTACAAGTAGTGTTTCAAAATGTCATACTATAACGTGAAAAGTTTTACGACAACACTCGACAAATGTCAAAAATTTCATGCAAAAGCGACATTAATTATTTGTAATAAATTTTAAATGAAAAGAATACGTGATAGATTACAGTTATCTTTTTTTTGTGCTTGCCAATTTTGGTCGCAAACTAATTTGGAAACATGTTGAAACAAACGCTAAAATTTTCAAGCTTGCCCTTTATTTTCTCTTTGATCATCGTATCTGTCTCACCTGTCCTTGGCCGCGCGTTCCCAATAAAATCCGTCCCCGATTCTCGTTATCGTGAGCTCAAAAGGGAGATCGGTCGGCAGCGTTTCCAGGAGCACGTCTCTGTCGACGCACGTCGGCAGATCCCCCAGAACGGGATTATCCTTCCAGATCGAGACTATGACGCGAAGCGCGAGTATCTTCAAATCGGGGATTACGTCGTCGTCCCAGGAGGTGTCCTCCGTTCGCAAGGTCCTTCCTTGCTCCTGGGGCAACAGCGACGTCTCCGGCGAGCACCTGCGAGCCAATTTTTTTTAGGATAATTGATTATATCGTGTCCACACGATTGTGTCATAATATTTTTTCCTCTTTTTTACAGCCCTTTAAAGATAAAAAAATGGCAAAAATAAAGAACTAACAAAGTGACCTAATTTTTAAAATTTTTAATATTTTTTTTATTCTGGTACCTGTTAGCTGAAGACATACTAATTAGAAATTAATCAAATTCTTGATGTTGCCAGTCAATAATTAAAAGGATAAATAAATTGTTTCGATCAATACTGTCACAAAAAATAATGATTATTTCATCACTGTTCGACAAGATGTTTTATTCGCACAATAGTATTCACGGTTATTAATTTTAAGTACACTTGAGAAGAACCAAAATCCATGGTTTAACCGTTGTGCGGTGTTTATTAAATATTTATTAACCAATATTGGTCGAAAACAATTATTTATCCTTTTAATTAGAAATTATTTTGAATTTTTTGTTCCAAATGAACCGACCCAATCATGCACGGAAAGAATTTGCTTTTAGAATTTACCTTGATCGTGGGATAATATGATATTGGAAGAATTTTATAAGAGTTTCTCTGATTAATATTTACCACAATAAGTTATATAAAATATGTTTTATTAATTTTACTATGTACATATTAATATTTTTATTGTGATAAATATATTAGAGAAATTCTAATAAAATTCTTCCAATATCATATTGTCTCACGATTATCAGGATTTTTAGAGTGTTTTCATTTTTTTTGTACCAGAGAAATTTGTAAACACATTGTAGATACTAATAAATATGTAGACAAAATTTCGAAAAAAATAACGCTTATACTAGAAAACCCCCTTAAGCGAATATACGACGTTATATCCCACGTCTGAATAATCTTTACCGTAAACAGCTGTTCATTTTGAACGGATCATCGCGTTATAATATAATACTATGTGTGTGTTATAGGATTACATTGTTAAAATTTAATATTATTTTATGAACTGCTTTTGTGCCGTATATTTTGTTGTAGAGAAATCTCGCGTGGGTACGCGGAGATCAAAATATATACGTGACGAGAAAATGATAAGGGAAGATAACGCGGAATGCTCTAGTTTTATTCCATTATACTTTATTTTACCTGTAAGCGGCCACAACGTTCTTCGATATCGTGTGCGGAATCCTCATTGTTCATTGTTATTAGTTTCTGCACAAAAAATATATATGAAAAATATAAAGAGCTTCACTATACTAGCTTCATAAAATTTTATTAATTGAGATTATTAATTAGATTATTAATTGAGATTATTAATGATACACACGCTCGCTCTGTTTCGATAGTCTCTCATTCGATATACATATGCAAAAGTATGCCTAATTAATAAGGATATATTATTCATTAGCAATTAGCTTTTAGCAAACTATTTGATGCGATCCAATTTCTCCAAGTTAAAACGGTGCATGTGATTTTGCGCTTGGTTGCATGGAAGAACTAGTATCCCGGACCAATGTATACATATACATATATTCTCTGAAGCCACAAAATAACACAACTCGGTCGCTTGTGTCCGAGTAAATGGTCGGTGGCGTATAATGTATAGAGTGTCCCTTAATCCCGCTCTGATAAAACGCTCGCGGAAACTGAGTGCGATCATTTTTCACGATCTTTTCCCTACCCTTTCTTCTTCTTCCAGGAGTGTCCCGAGGGAGTGGTGCACGAGGACTCGTTCAAGGACATTTACGCGAAATTCTTCCCGCACGGCAGTGAGTTCCAATTAAATAACAGCCCGCGTTTTTGCGTAATTAGTTAATGGCCACCCCTCATGCGAATTGCAGACTCCAGTCTCTACGCCCACTACGTGTTCAAGGCCTTCGACGTTAATTGCAACGGGGCCATCAGCTTCAGGGTAATTAAGTCTCTCGTGTAATATAGTCCTTTCATTCATTTTTAATCGTCCGTTATGCTCCTGCTACGCCGCGTTTATCTTAAATGAATGACAACGCGTCATCCTCTTTCCTGCTGGTGTATGCGAGGAACTTTTCCTCGCAGCGTGTCTCAAGTTTCCTCAACGTTGACAATGATACTTAAACGAGGAGAAATTGCAGCAAGATTACTCGTAAACTATTAAACGGATTTTATTTATCCATTTACGTAATTTCATTGCGATTATATATCCATCTCGTTGAATGAAGAGAATTATAGATATATATTTTATTTACAAGCGCGTTTGCGGATAAATAGCTTCGACGCGCATTAATATCGTAATAGGAGATAAATTATGTCGGAATATAGCATAAAGTAGCGCTCGTACACATCAATTTTGTATTTAACGCATTATTACGATCAATCATTTCATTTAATTCCTGCATACGTCTAATTCGAATTTGATCCGCCGCGTTTCGCGTATTTGTGTTCGCGGTCGCACATCGCGTATTGACGCCCTCCGGGTCGTGAAACACACGAGGGAGGATTGTTCGGAATATTCGACCGGATTGGGAAATTTCCGAATATGTTAAACGAGCGAACGCGATCCGTTTATACACGAGGGCACGCATCATCCCCGAGATAAAATCCGGACGATTGACGGGGCGAATATATACAGGCTGTCCCCGTTTAAAATTATTGGATATCCTGTTAACGGAGAAATCCGAAAATTGTTTGGAGACGATTTTTCCTCCTGTCATCGAAGCATGTCATCATTTTTTTGCACGTTTCCAACTTTTGCCATCATTCATCTTTGTAACGAAGTCTTAAATTAAAATTCTACTAAAGTAAAGTGACTCTCTACACGGAGAGAATTTTCTCTTAGAATTTATTCTGAAAATCTCTTGGTAATCGTGGGACAATATGATATTGGAAGAATTTTATAGTTTCTCTGATTAATATTTACCGCAATAAAAAATATTAATATATACCATAATAAAATATAAAATTCACTATGTATATTAAAAATTAATCTATATTTAAATTAATTAAAATTCTTCCAATATCATATTGTCCCACAATTACCATTTTCAGGATAAATTCTAAGATCAAATTCTCTGTGTACCTGAAATTAACTGAAAAATATGGTTTCGTTAATATTTTATTTGCACAAAGCTTAATTTGCGAAAAACCCTTTTTAATCGCTTGAAACTCGAAAATTAACAGGGTATCCGGTAATTTCGAGTCACTCTATACACATACGTCCGTTCAATTGGTCGTGCGATTTTGCTTATCGGACGAATGATTAATCATTTTTATATACGACACGTGACACGCGGAGATAAATAAACGGGGGAAGCAAATAAACGCGTTCGCGCCAAATGATCATTCGTCATCACGCGAGTGTCGCCTGTACATGAAAATATCTATATCCTGGCGTGTTTGTAATATTGAAGCTTTCGCTAGATACCGCTCACGTGGGACCTGAACTAGAATATGCCCGGGACACGTGGAGACAATTCCGTTTGATTAATTTCCGTCGCTTCCGCAAGCCGGATGCAACACGCGCGTCCTCGAAATGTTCTTTCTCTCGCGAAGCCACCGGGCTTTTCCGTATTATATGCGCGCGTCCTTATACTAAATGACTGTACATCCATCTCTGCGATTACATAAGGTAATTACGTATGCCGCTGATACTGATAATAAAATCGCTCACGTAATTCTGTTCAATTTCAGTTAAAGACACAGAGAGAATTTTTTCTTACAATTTACTCTGGAAATCATGGTAATGATTTGTGAGACAATATGGTATTGGAAGAATTTTATAAGAGTCTCTCTATAATTAATATTTATCATAATAAAAAATATTAATATCTATGATAATAAGATATAAAATATATTCGATTAATTTTACTATGTACATATTAATATTTTTTAGTGTGGTAAATGTTAATCAGAGAAATTCATAAAATTCTTGTAATACTATATTATCGCATAATTACCACGATTTTCAGGCTAAATTCTAAGAGAAAATTCTCTCCCTGTATGTATGCTGCTGATTCTGATAATGGAATTGCTGACATAATTCTGTTCAATTTACAAGTTACAATACACGGAGAGAATTTTTTCTTACAATTTACTCTGAAAATTATGGTAATTATGGAACAATATGGTATTGCAAGAATTTTATGAGTTTCTCTAATCAATATTTATCACGATAAGATATACAATATATTCGATTAATTTTACTATGTATGTATATATTTTTTAATGTGGTAAAAAATATTATTCAGAGAAATGCTCGTGAAATTCTTGCAATATCATATTGTCCTATAATTACCATGATTTTCAGGGTAATTTCTAAAAGGAAATTCTCTCCCTGTATGCTGCTGATATGGCAATAGAATCGCTGACGTAATTCTGTTCAATTTCAGTTAAAGTACCCGCGACCGCTTGGTAATTTAAATTTTAGAATTCGAGGAAAATGCAGTTATATTATCGCAATTATATTAGGTGCTTGCAAAAGTTCATATGGTTACCAATATATGGCATGTTATTAATAATTATTTTCTTTTTAGTTGCTTTCTTGTTTTTAAAAATGCTGACCAAATTCAATCATAATTTAATGACTGATAAATCATAATTCCAAATATAACTTTACATTTAACGCGATTGAAAATAAAATTAGATAAAGTTCATTTTTGTCGTTTTGATGTTGTAATTATTTTTTCACAAATCAATCTTTCGCCGTTGCAGCGGTTTCATCTCGATTAAAGTGATAAAGCGTACAATAAAGAAGGTGAACTTTATCTGGTTCCATTTTCAATTAGCGTTAAATGTGAAGTTATATTTGGAATTATGATTTACCAGACAATTAACTCTGATTGAATGTGGTCAACATTTAAAAACGAGAAAGTAACTTAAAAAAATAATTACTAAATAACGCGCTGCATCTTCGTAACCTTATGAACTTTTGCAAGCACCTAATTAATAATAATTCGTTACGCGTGTTTTCCAATATTATTTTTATATTTAATTACCCCAGCAACTTCGGCGCCTGCAATTTCGTTAAAACTTTTAAGCAAATTTTATTTCATGACGGACGATGTTAATGAATATTTATTTTTAGAAAAAGAATATTTAGGTGTACCTGGCTTTTCCTGTTTCTCTTTCTTCTTTGATATTAATTTACATTCAAATTGCTTCTCTCTCTTCTGTCATTTGTTGAATTGCGAAATTTTATTTCGCCTTTTTTCGGTGAAAAAAAAAGTCACAAAGCGAACGACTTCAACGCCCGGAAATTATCAGAATAATAAAGAAAAGAGAAAGAGGAAAGCGTCGAGAGAGAGAGAAAAACCGTTTCGCCTCGGATTTAACGTCATCGCGCGGTAAACGACTTTAGACAATCTCGGGAATTGCAGGATCTCCTCGTGACACTATCGACCCTGCTGCGGGGCAGCATTTATGAAAAACTCAGATGGACCTTCAAGCTGTACGATATAAACGGGGACGGCTGTATCACCAGGAGCGAGCTGGGAGAAGTCGTGACAGCGGTGCACGAGTTGATGGGGAGGAAACATCACGCCGAGGAAGAGAGAAAGGCGAGGGAGCAACTGGACAGGGTCTTCAAGAAACTCGATCTCAACCAGGACGGTGTTATCACGATCGAAGAGTTTATCGAGAGTTGTTTGAAGGTACACGTCCCACCTGGCCGTGAAACAAACTGACGGCGAAACGATCGGGTAGAAAAATAGATAGATGTGTGTATATACCGGGTGTCCCCGGCTTTCCTTTCGTCTTCCCAACGTGTTCGTTCGCTTCACGACCGATCCTTTGTTCAGCGTTTCGTCGTAATAGCGTAAGCTCGAATCTCTCGCGTACGACGACGACCGCTATTTACATTTTAATAACGGCCCGAGCTTAGTTGAGGATTGAATGGAAGAAGGCGTGGTGAATCTGGGACACCTCGTAAGTACTCCCTTCGTAAATGAACACCAACTTCCTCGAGACGATATGTCCTAGATCTGGCGTGGTGTTTCTTTTAGCTACAGTTGCGCTTCAACTAGTTTTCAAACGAATCTCCTGCGAGAGAGAATCAAAAGCTCATCATTTTTCTCGCATATCATGCATTTTGATGCTTCGATTATCCGATTATATATACTTCCTTTCAAAATTTCTTATTAAAATTAAATTCACTAGCACATTCAAAAAAATAATTATAATAATTATCATTTATATATATATATTTTTAAAATTAGTTAATATGGAAAATCCTAGCAGAATTATTCGATATTAAAGAAGAAATATCTTTAGAATCCAATTTTTCGAAGTATTCGGTATCACCAGAAAATCTGTCGCAGAATATTTGCAATGCAACATCTTTTCTACATTCGCTTTTCGCGATAAGAGAAATACAAATCTATGAAACAATAAATGCATTCGCGATTTCGTATAGTAGTACGTTTCACTACAAACATGTGTCGTGTAGCGAGAACAAAAGGGCGCCGAAAGATTGATCGATGTCTATGGAGCTTGCGCGAGCTTGTTCAGCATTTTCGTCGCGATAGTATAATAATATATTTCTGTACGAGGATATATAGGTATGTACATATATACAGGACTTTTCGGTCGTTGCGCGAATGAAACTTGGCACTAGCCAAAATTCTATATGGAGAGAATTTTTCTCTTAGAATTTAGCCTGAAAATCATGGCAATCGTGGGACAATATGGAATTTTATGAGTTTCTCTGATTAATAATTACCACAATAAAAAATATTAATATCTACATATAGTAAAATTAATTGAACATATTTTATATCTTATTGTGGTAGATATTAATATTTCTTATTGTAGTAAATATTAATCAGAGTAACTGAAAAATTATAGTAAAATCGTGGGACAATATGGTATTGGAAGAATTTTATAAGAGTTTCTCTGATTAATATATTTATCACAATAAAAAATAATAATGCGCACATATGTATAGTACAATTAATCGAATATATTTTATATCTTATTGCGATAGATATTAATATTTTTATTGTAATCAGAGAAGCTCTTATAAAATTCTTTTTCATTAGCATGATTTTCAGGGTAAATTTTAAGGGAAAATTCTGTCAGTGTACACAGTAAGCAGAACCGTGTTCCTCTGACATGACGAAACTTTACGTGCAGGACGACGTGATCACCCGATCGCTGGCGATGTTCGACTGCGCGCTTTGATCTCCGGCTAAGGACGAGCCTCCAGCAACCACGGCAGTTAGCAACGCGACGCCGCCGACGCCGCTCTCGACGACAACGTTCTCGCAATCCTTGTCCCCGTCGCCGCCGCCGCCGTCCTATTCCCTGCTGCCGCCTATCCCGCCGCCCTTGCCCTCGCAACCGCCACCCGGGTACACCGTCCAGGATCAGGAGCTCTATCTGCTCCTAGCCGCTCACTGGTGGAACCAACCGGAGGCGCCGCTCTTTTGTTGAAGGTGAACACTTTCCCGAAGAAGCGTTTCTTCGCGAACAGGCACTTCTCGAATATATAGTTTCCGCGAGAATCGAGAATATTGGAATAGCTGCGAGAGAGCGTCAATTTTTTTTTTCAACTAGGTACTCGATTTTTCGATGAATTCGGAAGCGTTTTCTCCTCGACACAAAAATTTGTCGAGAGGACAAAATTCTTTTTTCTCAAATTCTCTTTTTAGCATTGTTTTATCAACTCTAAGCGTCGAACTTTAAACTCCATGTTAAAGCAGAATATAATTATGAGTAAGAAACGAGCTATCAATTTTTTATTCTCGCAAGTTTAATTCGTCAGAATTCTATAGTTAAATTTTTCTATTTTTAAAAAATGTTTTCTTCGATCAAATTTTGTTTTATTTAAAAAATTTGAAATTTCTTTTTTAGGGCAACGCGATAACACGGCTCCTAGAATAGCAATCGAGGTCTAAGTCTGTGGAATCGGAAAATGGACATATACATACACACAATACACACACACATGCACACGCACATTGTTGTCCTTATCCTCGCAGATCGACGCTTAGTGAAGGCTTAGTGAAGGCTCAAAAGAGAGCCGATTCGGAGACAACACGCGAAATATCACAAGACCGCCGCCATCGAGACAATCTTGCGGAGAAATGCGACGATTCTGTGACGACGAGACCCCGGATATTTCGACAATCGACAATTGGCGTCAATTTCTGGCAAGGATCGAGTGGAGTTACGCAATCCGAGGAGTTAAAACCTAAGGTCGTATACTGACTGATTATTAATAAGCGAGATCAAAATACCTGGGCTCTTTTCCATCAGATATGAAGAGAACGGTGTCTAAAAAGCATAATCACGAAAATAATAAAAGTAATGAAAAGAAAAAATATAATGCGAGTTACTCGCGCATCCCTATCTGCGAAATGATCCTGCGAAGATCCTGGAAGAATCTGTCTTGCGGATTCGTACCAAATTGTAGCGTTGGCTGGAATCTGGAATCTCGAGTCGACGACGACGACGACGATATCGACAGTGATAAAAACGGCGTTAAAGTGCAATGCGTGGCTGTGAGTCGGAAATGCGGCACGAAAACGAGAATCATAAATCGCTACAAATGTCGAGAAGATATTTGTAGGATATCTGGAAAATGTCGACATCTAATTTCTTGGATAACGTTATCTGTACAATTCTGCTTGTACGATAGGCGTTAGAAACAATAGGATTAACGAATGGATTGCATGACTTTGCGTTGCCAGAAACGACGCGTCTTCGTGATCACGCGATTTTTCAGATCAAGCGTTTTCTCCCATATTTAAGTACATCTTCTCTCGATAAATGCTTCGCGCGATAGTGCTATAAAAAAGATATCCCTCGTTGAGGGATCAACATGAATCCCATTATAGGTTGTTCTACGTTTAAAATAAAAAAATTAATTTGCCAACAAATTTGATATACGAGTTATCTTCTTTTTAGCGAATTATTTCATTAATTTGAACAATTTGAATTCTGCACAATGCATAATATATGCGTGACTTTCAGTGTTTATTATTTTGCTCCACCCCATGTATAATTGTTGAATATCCGGCAATCTTTCTATATCCCCCGCAGTTTTGTTACCATTCATCATGATCGCGTGGTGGCGGCGATTATGTATGTCGTGAATAGGAACGACGAGGCAGGGCGCATGATTATATATCATTATTTTCGACGTGATGACGCGTCGATTTCGCTCGACTAGACTGTTAGTCGCTACGATCGTTGACGATCATAAATATCACACGTACATATTTTTCGTTGGTAGGTTCGTAGGTTGATACTTCGTTGTACATCCTTTTCTAGGTCCGATTGATTCCGCGCGCAAGCGTTCAATAATCATATAAAATTCTTACAATAATAACAAATCTCGATACATATTTATTCCAAAATCGATACGTATATTTATTCATTAATAGAAATTATCAATACGATTTTGCTTTGTACACTTGGCTGTTACATCGACCTATCGCAACAAGATATTACCAGGATATCAATCTATATAGTTTCTGTCTCTAGATACTTTTCGTGCGATGATAGTTTTGCGATATTTGTCGCGTTCAATCATAACGTCGGTACTGAAACACTGACAAGAGATATTGATCGCTTGCGAGCTCCTTATAAGCGTTCATAGTATGTAACATGTTGTAGGTGTACGTGCGTGAGAAGTATCGATTTTCTAATATATCCGTTATTGCGAATCGTAGGCGTGCGAGCGTGCGAGCATATGTCAGACTAGCGAGTAGCAGCCTCGAGTGGCGATTATTAATTATCAAAATCGATTACAATGAAAACACCAAAGAGCTACTACTGTAGTTAGCTGTTATCTAAGTAAACAGATATAATAATATATAGTGCGATTATACATAGTTAAGATAAATTCGCGATTAAAAGAGGAAGACAGAAAAAGGAAAGAAGAAGAACAAGAAGAAGAAACATCGCGGATAGTTAATAATTGGCGTTTATGATCGTACAATGGAAAAAATTGCGTTATTTTCCAGAAAACACTGTCTCAATACGCTCTATACAACACACCCGAATGCGCACACACACACGTACCTTCTTTAAGCAAGTCCTACGTCCCCGTTGTTTCGCATCAGACAGATACGAGTCGTCGTTGATCGTCGTTACAATCTGATCGCTCGTGATTCACCAGCTCTGCTCCCTGAAGTCTCAGTCCCGAAGAGGAAATCTCGTTGCTGAACGAAGGGGCGAGCACCTTCGACTAGCTGGGGATCAAGAATACGCCGTTGCTAAGCTACGTCTAACGCGTCTCTATAACAACGATTAAACCTAACGACGAAATCGCGGTATCCGATCGAGCGCAGAATATAACGTTACTTATAGATTGAGTTATGATGGTATAAGACAGGGATTCGCGTACAATAGGATAAGTCACCGGAAACAGAATACTTGAATATATCTCTCTTGGAGATTTAAAGATACGAGAAGATTTTTGTAAGATACCATTCAAACCAGGTTCTCTAAGGAGACAGTTTCTTTTCTCTTTCTTTTTTTTATAGATTTTTTTATATCTCTTGCGATTCTCTTTGTACACGATATTCTCTTATATACTTCTACATATTATATACCGCACCTTGAATTCGTATTCAGCGAAAGCTGAAAGAATTCTTTGATCATCAAACGGTCAGGAAACTAAACTTGGAACAAAGATATACGTATAATGCCGGCCATTAATTTGTGAACGCTTACAGAAGGAATGAAACGAGAGAAATTACGCAATTAGCGATCCTTCTATCAGAAAGGCGCGAAATTAATCTACCATAGAAAAAAAATCACTTGAGAAACAAAATAAAATTTTATATCGGAAGTTTAATACTCTGTGAGCTTTGTCACGTTAATGACCGCGATATAAAACTCGAACGATACGATTAATCGAATTGAAATTTATTAGCCGTTTAAACGCTATATTATGGCACGCGATCAACAACAGTGCAAAACTGCAAATTGCTGCGATTAACGCCAGAATATAACTGATCGTGCACTGACAGAAGATTTATATTTCTTAGGATACACACATGTCGTGTCTTCGAATTTAGAGCGATCGATCGTAATCTTATTGGTAATGTCCGAACATCGGTACGAAAATGATCTATATCCGAGTGACAGAATCGCGTTGTTCGTTCCAGTTCGAAGATAGCGATATTATTTATTATATATATCTTCTTACGGTCTCTCGTTGATGTAAATTTATACATATATAGCGTTAGCGCCACGAAGATATGTATAATCAAAGACATTTTTCGGAAATACCGACACTTATATGTCAAATCTGCCAGCACATTGATCAATTGTGCGCTGTAAAATTTGTTACTAACTCAAGAACCTTGGTATAAAAACAAAACCACATGCAAACCGTGTTTTGAAATTTTCAGCCGAACTTTTCGAGCAAACTTTTGCTATTATTCGCACACTATTCCATACCTGAATTGAATCGCGCGAGCACAAACATCGGGATAAATTCACACTTCCCTTTGCTTTGAAATATTAAACTGAATCAATTGCGATAATTAATCTCCCCCGAAGAGACATGAAAAGGGGGAAAAAATGAGGAGAGCTCTGTATAGCTAGCAGTCTAGCTGAGAAGCAACCTAGTCAATTCATTAACGTTTAGATCTACCGTACGATTGTAAAACTCTTGCGTGACTTCAAATTTAAACAAATTGTCGAAGTATTATATTATGATTAGATATTATCGATCACTAAGTGAAGGACACACTTTTAGCAAGCGCGGCGCGGCCATCAGTCTTCATCCTGTAAATGTGCGATAGTCACACATCAATACGCATAAAATAGTCAACAGGATTTATGAACGGAGCCATCGATATTCGAGCAAATTATTTCGACCTTCGAATTTCTACACATTAATTATTATGCCTGTTAATTAAACATGCATATATATCTGTATTATTGCAGTATATGATCATGTATTGTCATAATTCTATAACTATACGATATCATCTGTCTACAGTCTAATTATACTCTGTTTATTATTTAAAAGATTTAATAAGTCGTTTAAAAATAAATTTGTGTCAGTGAGTACAAAATTTGAATATTGTGTAAATTTTAAATTGTCCGATTGTATTATTTTTATAGCATTTATCAAAATTTTTTATCGATATGTAGTAACAATAGCGACAAGTTTTCACTTTGATTAATCGAATGTAGAGATATATTGAAACTCGAAATATCTGCAAACGGCTCCCAAATAATAGACTAATATTACTCTCGTGAAAAGGATGTCACAGTTTTATTACAATAGTTAATCGTTACGTAATATCACTGGTTATTATATTAGAGACGATACAATTGTTGAGCTTGGAAGCACTTTTTTATGGTGAAGTCTCACAGTTAGATTTATGATCGATTTTAGCGGAGATCCTATCTCGAACTCGGATCTATTGCTATAGTGATAATACAGAATACATTATACTACATAGCAAAATGCGTTAATTATATTGTCTCATACTGCCAACTGTAAATCATCATTAGTAGTTTCTAATTAATAACATCGATAGATAATCTCTAGTTAAAGATTACGAGCGTAGAAGAGGGGGTGGTTTCTTTCGAAATACTTTTAATGAATCGTCAAAAGTTTCGCTACTCTCAATACTTCATTTCTATCTAATGCGAATCTAATTTTTTTCACACATACACAAACAAACAGCACGCGCTTGCACTAATTACTTTGAAAAATAAAATTGCTTTCTGCACGAAAACTTAAAAAATATTTATTTGAGCTCTTTTCATACTGTTTTCTTAGTTTTGATTAAATATTTTATGAAGAAAAAAAATGTTTTAAAAAGCTCTCGTAAATATTTTGTAAAATGATTACGGTCGTTTTAGCAATTTTTGAGATACACACAAAAAGGCCGATTAAAAATTATTGTAACCACCATTGTGATAGTAATAGGTTTTAGTATAATACAAGAGACGGTAATTTGAGGATTGCAGCATTTTAGTTTTAATTTTAGTTTTAGAAACGAGGAGCAAACATCAAATTACATGTCACGCACAAGGCTCAAAATTGAAGACCGATGTAATATAAACTATTCACTGCTTTTAAATGAAAAAATAAGTCATTAATAAGAAGATATATGTACTTAATGTAATTATTCGCGTTCGAAAAAGACATCAATCGAAAGTTAATGACATTCATAATTTTCTCCATTGAGTGTTGCAGAACAGTTTTAATTTTTTTATGTGTCATATGTAAACTTTTGAATATATAAATAAATTGATTTATCATTCTTTAAATATTCTTGTTTAGTCGGCACAAATTCTAGAGATTGAAACGTCAGCAGTGAATAGCGGCAATCATCGTTACTGGATTTATCCAATTCTTGCAAAGCGTGATTGAACTCGTCACACAAATCAACTAGTCGTGTGACGTAGACGTGTGATACTGGACATGTGCAAATCACGGCTACAGCTTAATTACTTTACCGGTGCAAACTCGTTGGAACTTTCCGATTGTTCCGACGCGTAAAATCGATTCGTAAATTCATTTCCAATCAAATTCTAACGGATAGAGGCGAAGAGTGTTCCTGTGTTATCATTCTAATTATATCTTAAGGCGATTATAGAATTACTGCGATAAAAAAAGATTGCAATAAGCGAGATATCATTGTATTGTTAGTCATTTTCCACACTGAGGTGGTAATATCAATAAATGTTAAATATATCAAATGAAAAATCTCCTGTCTTTCTGGGTCTTCCATCCAAATGCTGATTAAAGCGAGAGAGAAAGCCAGTGAGCTTTAAAATTCAAAAATTGCTTTTAATTTATGTAGAGAAAGATGTAAAAATAAAAATATAATTTCTAATTAAAATAATTTCAAATTAACTATGCTGGATATTATGCTTATATTTTATCATGATATAAAAATATAAACTATTTTTTTTATTGTATATAGTTTTTCACTCATGTATTAAGCGAATCAAATATAGATATATATAATTTTTTTGATGGATCAGAGAGGTATGTTATAAGATATTAAGGCGATTTATGATGAATGAGTCACAGCCATTTGGAATTCTCGAAGGATTCTACTCCTTCTGCTCTCAGTCGATTAAGAATAGGTCGATATATATCTGGTGTGAAAGGCAGCACCATTCCACGCTGTTGAATTTCACCTGAACAAAATTAAATTGTACATATGTTAAAATAAATTTCCGCAGAGATAAATATTCGATTTATTTTTTTTTATAAATTCTAAACTTATTCTCTTGAGGGAATATAATTTAAATTACAGTTTAGATGACATTTATATATAATAATTTGATTATATGTATAAGACATTTATGTATTCTTGTTTGCAGTAATCATGGTTTAATAATTCAGTGCGAGAAGAAATATAGTCCAGCAGTAGCAGTTTTCATTAGTTGAGAAATTTAATAAGCAATAAAAAGGAAGAGACTATACGAACCATCCAGGATCATTTTGACGGCGATAGCTGTGGGATACCCGACGGTACGCGCCATCGCAGAGTGTCCAGCAGTGTCTCCATAGAGCACCAAGTTGATCCCTCTGGATTCCCTCCTATTGTCCGGCCAAAGTATACTTATGTCGTGCCTCAGTATTACTAAATCCCGTTCGTTCTTCTCGTAATAGAGCTTCTTCGACAAGTAGTGGGTAAGCGTGTCGAGAGGAGTGTTTAGTTTCAAGACCAAGTCCTCCTGCAGAAGACCAAGATCCTCGATGGCCTTGACGCGTTCCCACGAATTCACTCTTTCTGCCAATTTCCTCTTCAGGTTTTCGTAGAAGATATTGTCGCTCGCCAGACCGAGTAGGTTGCACACCAACATTCGCTAAAATTTAGAAGTGACGAGCGATTTAAAAGAGAGTCGATACTTTTCAAACCTTATGCACGTAAGAAATTGAGAGAGCACTTACCCACGTGATGTCCGGCCCGTTCGGATGCAAGATTGGATCTGGATTGGGATCGATTAGGCCGAGCAATTGCAGACCCAACACCGTATCTGAGAAGCCCTTGAACCTGAGCGTACCTCGTAGTACGGTATTCGCGTTCTGCAAACCGTAGTAATCCCTGTAGACGATACTGTCGCGATTGGGAAAGCCTTCCAGAGCGAAGCCAGGGAGGAAGTCTAGCTCTTGCACGGCGGACATCAGATCGCCGCCTCCGGCGATCTCCACTTCCTGAATGACGAAGAAAAAGGTATGGATATATCTTTTTAAATCTTTTTCATATATCATATTCTGTTCTCGAAAAATAATTCTATGTATAAACTTTTTTTCAAGATATATTGATATGAAAAATTATTCACAGGATTATCACCTGTCCTGCGTGAAGATATTTTGCAGGCGCCAAGGTATTCAGCAAGGCACCTCGTGGAGACCAGCTGAATTTATATCTCAGAGGATTGTAGGAACACTCGGGCGCCGGCAGACCACCGCACCACGAGACGAAGGTTTCTATCTTACCACCTGCTTGTCTCACGTCGTCGAAACATTCAATCGCCAAAAGATGATCGATGCCCGGATCCAATCCAATTTCGTTCAGTATGGTGACGCCAGCTTGCTCGGCTCTGCGTAAGAAAACAATACTTTAATTAGTTGATATCTTAGCTAAACATGTTATTTTAGCGATAAGGTATCTACATGTGTGTTTTTAAATTCATCATTTTGAATCTTGCAATAATAAAACACAAGTTAGAGTTTTGTAATCGACTGCAAAATTCCAGAAACTAAAAATTTGTTGCTATAAAATTTACGTTAAATGTATGTATCAGAGACACATAATCTCGTTTATTTTGGAAGCACTCACTCTTCGTGTAATGCTTTGACGTCATCGTTCATATAACTAGCTGTCACCAAGTGAGTCTTAGTCTCGATACAAGCTTTAGCGATGACATGATGCAATGAGTACGGCAACAGGGAAACCACCACGCTCGACGATTTCACCACGTCGTGCAAGGTATCCGGTCGATCCAGTACGTTGAGGAAGACCGGCTCCACTCCTGGAAATCGATTGGCTAGCGCGTCAGCCTCGTCCTTCAATTGTGAAGCCACCACCAGCCTTATGTTCGTATCCCTGTGCAGATACTCGACCAAAGGTGCAGAGACGTATCCCGCGCCGAGGACGACTACCTGTTATCAAATTTGTCATCATTTTCGTTAATTATTTCATGAGAAATAGAGACGTTTCTATACCGTTTTTCTTTGCTGTTCTTTGTTATCAGCCTTGTGTTTGCTGCGGTGATTCAACTGTCTGAGTTCTTGGATGTATTCGAAATTAGGCGTTAGTTCCCCATTGGACGCGATGATGGCTCCATGAACGGCGGGATTAAAGTTGTGTTCGTCCAGTGACTTCATCGCGTCCGACCGTATGATGTCCAGAGCGTACGGATACAAGAGATTACCAAAGAAATCTGTCGATTCTCTCGGCAGTTGCGTAGGCATATTGTCGATCGAGCAGACTAGCACGCCGGGACCCTTGAAGGATTTCATGTCCTTGTTGCGATCGGCATCGTACAGGCAGAATGGCGTATCAATCGTCGTGCACTCGTTCATGAATCTTACGAAAGGTATATGACAAAATGAATCAACAGTTAAAAGATCAAATAAATATCAAAAGTATATACAATTCGCATAATAATTTCCTTATTAAATCTTAAGCAAGTAGAAAATATATAGCCAACTATCTATACGATAATATATCGCTATATGAATTACAATATTATTATATTACTATGTAATTATTAACTCCAACGCGATCATATGTTATAATAATTGTACAAAATTTTCCGAAATTTTTTACGTTTTCCCGAAATACGTCAAATCATAAACACGACGTACTCGATGCTGCCGCCAGGATCCGCAGATATGTCGCAGATACCGAGCATCCTGTGTGGCAAAGCGGGTGCACCGACACTGATCGGTAGCCATGGTGTATTCGCGGGTCTGAGCAGATACTTCGCATCCGGTATTGTCAACAATTTCGGCGAATCCACAGCCCAGTATATACCGTTGATGATGACTGACGCATACGGTGCTATCTTCTTGCTGAAGGTGGAAATATACAATTCTGGATGTTGGTCGTACTCCTCGGGATCGAAACCGCCGCCCTCCTTCCTCTCCAAATGATGCCTACGTCGTACCTCGCAGCCGTATATCTTCGTCGTATCTGAAACGAGAGATTAGAAAAATAAATAAAGAACATATTGTCACCGCGTGAAGTATAAAAATTTCCAGGGTAGATTTTGTAGAATAGTTTCTATTCGTCAAAACTCGAAGAGATTTAATGATAAAGAAGTTAAAAGAGATATCTCTATCTCTAATAGTGTAATACTTTTATAAAAAATGTTTAACATTCCCTAATTTAAAAAAAAGCTCAAAATTGCGTTTTGACCTAGGAAGAGGCATCGAAATATAAGTTAACAAAATATGTTTTTAAACGCGATAAGAAGACATGTGCGTCATTACCACCATGCTCGGCGACTTTTCGTAACATTTCTGGCGGCACATATTCGTGGGGCAATTCTTGGAAGACCTCTTGACCGCCCTGGCTGACGTTACCGCTGCCAGTGAAAACGAAAGTCAACGGACCAATCGACTTTGGCATGGCACCCAGGGCAATCTCGTATCCCGCACCACGGATCGCTTGGCGGGCCATCGCCGAATCCCGATAATTATGCGCCAGTCCAATGTGCTAATCAAACGATAATAACAGCAATTTAATGCTCATTTGTGCATATACTGTGCATTTTCTTTATAAGAAAGTTACAACCATCTGTCATCGATTCCTCATGTATGACAAGTGCTCTCTTATTATTTGTTTGGATTAGAGATTTTCTTTAAAGAGGAAATATACTTTTATCAATTAGATAATATCAATGTGTATCTTTCTAATATTATCTTATTGAGGGAAAATTTAGACAGATTGTATTATTCGACAATTTTATAAAAATTAATTTGTCTAGAATATTATAATATTCTGGAATACATTAACGTACCATAAATGGAGTATGGTGACCCAGGGCTAGCAGTCTCAAACCCAAACCATGCAGTATATTCACCATACCAGCCACCCCGGCGTACTTGCCGAAGGCGACTACTCGTTGACCATCAGCATTAGTAAGCCTTTCGTAATCCAGAAGACGTATGTTCTTCTCTAGGATTGCGTCCAGGAGGGGCATGTTACTCTCCTGCGCCTTGATGGTGTGCGAGAAGAAACAGTACGTCTTGTTGGGTATCAACTGATCCACAGGTACCTGCTTGACACCGAAGATGACAGAGGCCGAGCTGATGTCTTCCTGGAGCAGAGCACCCGCCGCTTGGTACGCCTGGGCGGGATAGGATCGTCGGTTGCTCGGTTGCACGATCACCTTCACGCCCGACCTGACGAGGCTGCGAACATTCGCCGGAGCTAATGGTGCCCTTCTTTCCCATACTGATTGATCTTCTCGTCTTATGGCTATTACTTTGCCCTTGAGATTCTGAAAAGATTCAATGCTGAGGAATGCTTGGTATGCGATAGTTTATTCAGAGATTCATATTTTTAAATTGATCTTTCACGAAGGTATTATCTTATATTACAATTCATTAGACTGAAAAATTTTCAAGAATTTGTAATCCATATAACATTCATAAATTTTGAAGACGAAGAACCTGTTAGTTCTTTATAAATTAGTTAGTTCTTCTACAAATTCGTATCGTTCGTTTCACGTTCATTTATTTTTCAAAGAACTTAGCAAGATCGGATAATTAATTGAGATTATATCACACATGAAATTCATGACTTGGGATGCTTACACTTATGTATCTGACGTTATAGGTACCGGCACGAGTCGCAGTGGTCAATAAATGACGTGATTTAATTAATCTTAGCATCCGCATTACACCTTCGTCAATACTGATTAGTGGCAGAGTAAAGGTCAGCGTTGTCGAGAGAGAAAGTCACTAGTTGAAACCGATTCGTGGTGATCGCGCTAACTGGATTAATGTGGATTCTTCTTGAGGAAATTCGCTTGTGCTTCGATGTGTCTTGAACAGAGTCCATTATACTACTGTTATATTACTGGCTGTATTGAACTATAATGCACGGGTCATATGCAATGTCGGAAAGTATTACAAAATCGCTGATAAACTCGGATTTACTGGCGTTATCAGTATCAGCGTGACCCTTCTGACCGTCGCATTATTGTGTTAAGTATGAACAATCAGAACAAGGGATTAACAAATACGCTATTCCGAATATTTAATATTCGCCATAATCGAAGAGATCATGGGTTTTGGAACTAAGATGTTTCGGTTATAGTTTTCTGTAAAATTTTTAATAGAAGTGTTTTTTTATCATTATTACATAGTATCATTATCATTAAATATTAGTTGAATGATACTGTACAGTGTGTAATTACTAACGCATTAGATAATCATAAAAACGGCTAATTAACAAATTATAATTAATTAGATTGCGCTTTGATCGATAAATACATTTTATTCTTGATTGTCTGCTTGGTAGGATTTATTTTCTTCAGTATTTGAGTCATAATGTTGACAAGCTGCTCAGATGTGAGACCAGTTTTTTTAGACTTGAATTTCTGCAATAACTCGGTTGTTGTCATTGGTTTGCGCATTAAATATCGTCTCACCGCATCTTCCGTAATTCCCGATTCGCTAAAAAGATACCAAAAATGAGTGATTTTTTAAACAAATCAATATTAAAATTGTACAATATTTATCATTCAAAAAACATACCTCGCTCCCGGAATGTACGATGTTACTGGAACTAAATTAAAGTTGTCTAACTTCAACTTTTTCGCTTGCGACAAATCTGGAGATCCAGATTGCTTTCTCTTAAAAGAATCAGAAATCCCAGCTGCAGGGGTTGGCGTCGCCGATCTCGAACTATGCGCACTATTAGGTTTCTTGTTATCTTTATCTTTTAGTGTTGTATCAGAATCTGATTCCGAATCGCTGGAAAAATCACTAGAGGAATCTTTTCCTGAGGTAGATTTCTTTTGATCTTTCTTTTTAGCTTTTTTCTTCTTCTTTTTGTCTTTCTTCTTATCCGTTTCTTTACCAAGTTTGTCTTTATCCTACAAAATGCGATATGCATTAGAAAAATGTAAGATAAAATATTTTGCAATTGTACTTAATGATAAATATTATGGGTTAGTTTATATCATTTAAGATATAGAAATGCATAATATGCAATATATATAGTGTTTATCAAGAATAGGTCATAACAATGATGCGTTAGATCTCCTTACTTTATCATCCTTTTCTTTTCCTTCCTCATCTTCGTCTTTGTCTTCTTCGCCTTCCTTCTTATCTGTTTGTTCTTCATCATCTTCTTCTTCGTCAGACGCAAGTAATTTTCTCAAAGCATCCTCCTCCGCGACGGACTTAATTTCCTTCTGTTGTTCTAATTCTGATTCAGAATCAGAAGAATCAGAAATATAATCGCACTCTCTTCCCTCCTCATCGCCGTCATCGCTTTCCTCGAACGCTTCATTGTCTGAAGAATTCTTCTTTTTTTTCTTCTTTTGCAATTGACCTAAAATATATACATAAATAAATATTTTACTAAAATATATATTGCATATATTTATCTATGTATAACACAATTTGCTTACGCAAAAATAAATATGTATAATAAATAATTATTTCACATTTATTACCTTTATTCTTCTTCATCTTCTTTGCATCATCCTCATCTTCGGATCCCTTTTTATTCTCATCTTCGTTACTGCCTGATTCATCATCATCACTCTCCATCCACTCGTCCAATTCTGATATTTTCAATTCCTTCTCTTTCTTACTTGGCCTTTTAACTTTACCACCTTCCACTAATTCTTCGTCGTCACCACCATCCTCATCGTTTCTCAATCTCTTGCGTAACATTAATGAAAAATAATTCATTACCTTATTCCTACGACTGAATTCCTGCTCTGCTTCTTCAGCACTAAGAGCCTTATATCTCTGGATTGGCTGAAAGTTATACCTGTATGTGAAAATTACATATTTTTCAGTAATTACCGGTGAAACAATTAACAGTATGAGATACTTACCATTCATGTAAAGGAAAGGCCTCTATTGCTCCATCAGCAGCATGAGTAAAAACGTAATAAGCTGCATTTTCACTGACTCCTCCCTCTCGTATACCTTTGAATTTCTTCCCAGTCTTTCCACCTGATTTCAGAATCCATGGTTGATCTTCCGGTTTATACTTTCTACTAGTAATGCCATACTTTTTTCTTCTAGCTTCCTCTCTAGCATCACGCCCGAATTCAGATCCGGCACCGAATTTCGGCATCTCCTCTTCTATACTCTTGTATTCCTTCATGTTGTTTTCGCGTTCCATTTTCACTTGAGTCCATTTGGAAAAATCTACATTCAGCGTCGCATTGAATCTCATGACATTGTGCTTCTTCTTGCTGTTTCTAACAGTTTCAATTTAAATTATTTTCAATTCAAAATATATGATATGTAAAAAGTGAGAATTATATGTATATTATAGATTATATATATGTATATATAAATATTAATGATACAAACTTTGGTACTCTAATACTGAATTCCTGCACAGACGGCACGACTGTAGGCTAAAAAATAATTATATCTTGTATAAATGTGATTATTATATATAAAATATTAGACTTTTCTTCTAGAATAGTGTGCAATCTTTAATTTGATTAGTGTACATAACCTGCAACTATTATAATCACAGCTACTATCTATACATACCTTTGCTACGCCTGAATTCATATTTGACAACAATTTTTGAGTAATTTAATGTTACATTCGCAATTTAAAGCGTCTTATAAATTATTGGATCAATCAGATTTGACTCGAGAAATCTCAACAGATCAGATGTTCTCAGATTGAGAATGAACATGAAAATTAAATGAAAACTTCGAGGCTTCGAGGTGCGGTTAGGAAATTCCACCTGATTGGTCAATTAAAAGTTTTTTAAATCTATGAATAGAATTTGATTAATGAATATCGTAGGATAATAATAATAATAATAATAATTATTATTATTATATAATAATAATTATATATTATATAATATATAGAAAATATTTCGCATTTTGACGTTTCCTTCTTTTTCACACACAATCTTATTATTGTATATACATATATATCTTTATATTTATATATGTATATATAAATTCTGAGTCAGAAATAAAAAAAAAATTATCGAATCGAAAGATTAATATATTATTGTCAATATAGAAAAGATTCGAGCTCGTATGATCTTTTTCAGCTTTCAAATTTATAATAATAAATTTTTGAAAAAAATCAAAAAAATCTATTTATGCTTTGCATCATATTTTTTTTTTTTTTTATTAATATTTAATGTGCCTTCAACCAATTTGAGTCCAGTTCTGATTATTTAGGCACTTTGAACACTTGTACTTTTCAATGCACTTATACAGTCTTGTACACTTTGTTCAGTTAATAAATTATTCTTTCAACTGATTGAGGCTTGTAATAAGGCGTAAGGCATATTTCTCACTTTCCAGATCGGCTATAGGTGCATTCGTCGTCCTGGTTCCCTACCTAGCCTAGCTAAAAAAAAAAATTAAACAATTTTATTTATATTTTTTAAAAATTCCCAAATTAATTTCATTGAGTCTAAATCGCAATTTTTTAAAAATTTCTTTACTTCATACGGATATTTTATATCCCATTTTTCCATTTTCGCATACAACTTTAGTTCTTTCCTCGTCATATAATTTACAGTTCCATACTATCTATAGAATAATGTTTTATAACTATATGTCAATTATTTTTATTAATTTAATTTGTTTCTGTAAAACGTTTCTGTAAATCGTTATTATACTTATATAGTGTTTATGAATATCATTTATAATAAATATATATTTTATTCAAGTTGTATTTATTAATGTTTTAATGTTTCCTAGAACAGAAAATTATAATAATGTCAAAATAAGAAGAAAACAATTAAATTATGATAGAAAAGTTATTTAATTTTTATAGTAATTTTTCGTCATTTTTTGACGTCATTGTAATTTTTTTTTCTGTGTCGAAAAAGGACCCCTAGTTTTATTAGCGTCAGTCCCCGAAAAGTCACATCCGCCTCTGTATTCTACATTTAATTTTATATTATTTTCAATTTCGATATAAGTCAGAACAAAAATAACAGATAATATCTGATTTTCTTCGTGTCATGTTTGTGATCTTGTATTTATAACATGTATTTATACGTGTTGATTATATATATACGGTAAGACAAATAGAGGTCGGGCAAAAACACGCAAGTCATAGAATTTGCTGATTTTCGTAGCAGTTGCCTCGCGAAAGCAAATCGAAAAGGACGTGAGTTAATCAAATTAACTAAATATCTATAATAAAGTGTGCATTAAATTAAATGTACTTTAAAATCTAGTTTTATTAATTTAATTCCGTGAAAATTTTCTGTGAGAATATAACTTATTTTATACATTGTTAACCAGTCTTCAAAATGATTACATTAAAGGTATAATATTCTAATATAATTCAATTCTATCTCTCTTTATATATCTTATTAAACATAATATATTTTTTCTTATTTTTATAAAGAATTTAAACTTTAAAAAGTCAAAATTAAGAAATACATAACTGACATTTACACACAAATATATTTAAAAATTTGTTTACTAGATAGATTAGTGATACCTAAACAAAATAAAGTCGTATGTGTGCTAAAAAGTTTATTTATTTTTTGTAGAGCACGTTCTTCAAGCAACTATCGGAGCAAAGTTCCTATGGATAATAACAACATGAACAATAAATTATTTCAGAGGTAATGTAAATTATTTTTTAAATAAATGTATATATAATTTATTTAAGAATTATTTTATCTAGAAAAAATACAAAGTAAAAAATATTATAAATAAACAAAAACAAGTATAAAAATATTAAAATATATTTATTTATCATACAACCGATTTTTTGTCCATAGATCGTGCTCCAAAACTAGAAAAATTCCTCCACAGTACGCACAATGTGTTGCAGCAGCATCGTCACATACTCCTACACACTTAAAATCTAAACATCTTTCCGCTGAAGTTAAAGAACGAACACTTAAGAGTATTGAAAAGTGGAAGGACAAAATGAATAAATCATACGGTTAGTATCTTGAAAAGATTTATATCGTAATATGTGTTATAACCGATTGTGTGTGTTCTATCCTGATCTTGCTCCGAAAGCAAAATAATTTATAAATACGCGAAAAGATTTATATGAGAAAACATTTTTTACTCGTACAATTTTTTCAGGTGCTGTGCCTAAAAACTTGGCAAAGAAATATCCCAATGTACCAAATGTACATAAAACACATACTAAAATCAAGCAGCGAAAGAGTGTTGAATTCGTTCTAGAGCCTCAAAGATTGAATCTTCAATCGAAGATAGACCGGATTGAGCCCAAAAAATAAAAATGAAAATGAAAAAGGCAAGACGATATATTCTTGAGGAACTGTAATTAAGCATTTACCAAATGAATTTGTGCCAATTCTGCAAGATAATAATTTATTATATCCGCAATTTGATATGAATTCGAAGTAAGCCATAACAAAGACAACTTGTAAAAATAAAATAGATATTCATTAATAGCAAATAGAAATTGATCCGTATTTTACTAGTGTTACATTAATTATTTAATACAAAAACAATTTTAATTAATTTTAGCGCGTTAATATTTTAGATAATCAATACTAGAGTCTTCATATTTGTTTTTTAATTATTCAATTATGAATTAATTATTATGTCATCACAAAACATAATGTCTACATCAATTGATTAATTAGAACTATAATTGCGATAATTGAAAAATTGCTTTACGATACTTTGAATTGTTACGAAACAGTATTGCTGGAAATGGTCAACCGAATAACACATTGATTAGTTCTACAACTTCCGCAACACCCTTAGATGGTCCTTCGAGCTTACCATTAACTCCAACTAAGGTAATATAAAATATAATTTGTAAAACAAACACAAAAATGTACATGCATTGATATTTAATATTAATGTATAGATTAGTATATTAATTTTATTTCGATTTTAGTTTGATATATACGTATCAGACTTTAAAATAAAATGTTGTCCAAGTATATGTAAGAATTGTATAGGGTGAATTGGATTATGAAGTATTTTAATTCATTTATTTGCTATAATATTTGTAAAAATATTTGTTGGTGAAAGGAGCGTTATGTGAAACGCGAAGTGACATGCAAATTATCGACTGATATAGAAGCCTTCGATGATATTCATCCATTTGAGTATGCTTACTTTGACGACGTGCCGAACATGGAACGCAAAAGGGAGGACAATGCTCCCAAATTGTCTTCTCATTTTCTAAAAAGAGATGTAAACACAAATCAAAGATATATCATCGTAGGATATTTGATTCGTCTTGGAGTAAGTATATAGTTTAATTACGGATATAAATATTTCACGTTTATGCACAAATAAAGAACTAAAGGAGTATATATAATTTTGGTGAACTCATGTTTTGTTATAAACGTACAAAAATAATTTTTTATGTCTATCAATTACGAAACACAACAATGACAATTAATACTAGATGTATTAATCTTACATTAATTATGTATATTATTTTTTTATCTCGTTAACGCGTTAGAAATTAAAATAAAAACTTAAATTTAAATTGTATTGAACTTTGTTTATGACTTTTATGCTTATGGCAATTTTGTAGGTGTGTTACGAATACTCATCCAATATCATTTATCAGACTGTCGAATTATTCGATGTCACCATTGACAGAATTTCGGTAGATACGAATGATATCCAATTATTAGCCTTAACGTGTCTATGGATAACTCTCAAACGAGAAGTAACTAGTCATAAAATACCATCGGTAATAAAACTTTTTAATCAGAGAAAATATTCGAAGAGGAAGACTATTCTTCTGTTATTCTTCTGTTATTAAATAATTCAATAGTAATTTTAATATAAATTTATTATATATTTTGTATTTGCTTAGGCAACTACGGTACTGCAATTGGCGGCGAAGAATGTATATATAAATCGAGAGAAAGATTTATTAATGTATGAGAAGAAGATTCTCTATGCTGTTGAATTCAACTTACGATTCGGCGATCCTTTCACTTTATTTGCTATTACTTATTAGATGCGGTACGAAGTGGCATATGTAATATTAATTAATCTGAATAATGTCCCACGCATCTATTTTTGTGGTAGTTACTTGGTACGTGAACACACACAGAGATATACAATATTTAATTTTTATTGTAAATTATTATATCTGCAGATAAATAAGTAATTTATTTCTTATGTTATAGCTCGATATATCCATGCTGGATGAAAAGTTAAGTGATACGTCAGTATGTGTTCTGTGCGTAGTGGCGGCAGAGTTATCGCTTTGTTTTATATATTCAAATGACATTATTAATTTGAATTACGCATGGTACCAAGAATGGAGAAATAAATTTTTGCTCAGAGAGTAAGTAAATTGGCGATTAAATAAATCTTTCTTTTATCTCAAACAGATACACTACAATAGTTACATCTTTCTTATAAAGCATTTAAGATTTTTATCATATCACGAAAGAACAAGACATGAATCTTTAATCGCAAACACTTTTTAAATAGTCAGGTTTATTATTGTAATAAATATATCATCAAGCAAGAAATTGTAAAGAATAATTATTGAAAAAAATTATAAGAATATGTGATATAATAAAAGGCCAACTTAACGAGCTTATATGATATTAATTGAAAAATTTTTTTATTAATTTACGTCATAATATACTAAAGTTAAGATAAACGTTTCGACTGTACGACAGTCTTTTTCAATATCATGCTAATATGTCAAAAAATTAATTTAGTCATATCGACCTTATTATAAATACAACATTTATGAGATTATCATATGACGAACGCAGTACAAAATTCATGTTTGTTGGCTTGAGTTAGAGCGTCAGATTTATGTATGTCATGCTGTTATATCATGTAACGACATTTTTTGTCACGAACATAACATTTTTTTTTAAAAATTATTTCTTTTTACTTAACATAATCACAATGAATAAAAAAATTTTTCAATTAATATCATATAAGCTCGTTAAGTTGGCCTTTTATTATATCACATATTTTAATTGTATACGAGCCGAAGTTTAATTTATAAAATATATATATTATAAGAATAACTTAAATAAAAGAATAATGCATTATTTTTGTAATCCGGAAAATAATGACACGTTTTCTGAAAGAAGTAATTTTAAGTTTATTTATCTGCAGATATAATAATTTACAATAAAAATTAAATTGTATATCTCTGTGTGTTCGCGTACCAAGTAACTACCACAAAAATAAATGCGTGGGACATTATTCAGATTAATATTATATATGCCACTTCGTACCGCATCCAATAAGTAATAGCAAAGTAAGGTGAAAGGATCGCCGAATTGTAAGTTGAATTCAACAGCATAGAGAAATACAAAAAGCTTTGACTTTAAATCAATTAATTGATTTAAAGTCAAATCTTTTTGTATTATATTCTGTTTTATAAAACATAAATCTCTTTGTTCCCAACTGAAATAAAAAACATTCCGAATTAATACAAATAATTTGCAAAATTTAAAATTAATTCTTTCAGAAAACGTGTCATTATTTTCTGGATTACAAAAATAATGCATTATTCTTTACAATTTCTTGCTTGATGATATATTTATTACAATAATAAACCTGACTATTTAAAAAGTGTTTGTGATTAAAGATTCATGTCTTGTTCTTTCGTGATATGATAAAAATCTTAAATGCTTTATAAGAAAGATGTAACTATTGTAGTGTATCTGTTTGAGATAAAAGAAAGATTTATTTAATCGCCAATTTACTTACTCTCTGAACAAAAATTTATTTCTCCATTGTTGGTACCATGAATAATTCAAATTAATAATGTCATTTAATTAATTAATTGATTTAAAGTCAAAGCTTAAGTTGACTCACTTTGTATAATATATTATACAAAAAAATACTTTTCTTAAATTTTATTAACTGAATTTAAAGCTTTCTTCATTTTATCGAGAACAAAATCGGACACTTTGTATAATATATTATAATATATTATACAAAGTGAGTCAACATAATCATCTTGTATAATTTTTAAAATATGATAAATGAAATGATCTATTCTACCCTAAAATGTCAAAAGAATAAACTTTTGGCTAAAAATAGCCGAAAGTTTATTAACATTTCTATTTTAATATTTATTTTTAAAAGTGTTAAAATTTATTTTAGTTTTAAAAATTATTGTAAAATTTATTTTTATAAAGTTATATAATGAGAAATAGGATGTAAAATATTATGCATTGTATGTTCGGAAAAATATATATATTTTTATTATTGACAATTAAAGAAAATCATGAGAGATTTCTTATGTTAATGTCGATATTTTAAAATGTATTATCTCTATTGCGATAATATGTCAATTTGCATAAACATAAATGAGAATCATCGACTACAACAGTATTTATTTATCTAACAGTCCTCTATACGAGTCATATATAAGCTAATAATGATAATTTCTCAGCAATAATAATATCACATATAGTACGACATCCATCGTAAGCAATCAGGTGCTGTTAAATTTTCGAGTGCGAAAATTTAATGATTTCCGTAGTCTCGTTGAATACTTGCACAAGTATCCCACTTATTGTCCCATGTGTTATCAGTGGATAACAATTCTTTCACGTTGTCCTAAAGAGAATGTGTAATACGTCTTTAAAAAATATACAGCTATACAATTTTTTTAAATTAAAATTATATGCAATTGTCTCATCATTTGAAAGACGATATTTTCTTGTGAAAAAAGATGTATAAACATTTTTAATTATTTTATAATATTATAACGATTAAGCTCTCTCTCTCTCTCTCTCTCGATTTACGTAGGAAAAATATTTTTATAATTAATTGATACTTTATTTTCATATATTATTAATAATGAGATTAATCAACTAATATATTTATATTCATCTTAATCAATTAATATATTTACAAGTGCCATTTAATAATAATATGATATTTAATATCTAATTTTTCAATATAGTTAATATGAATAAAAAATCCAAACCAGCGGAAAGCTGTTAATTAAACTTCAAACTAAATAATGAAAATTAAAATCTAATAGGGGAAATTTAAAAACTTAAAGTTAAATAAAGATAATGTTAAATCTTCTTACTTTGAATAATACATGTGCTCGCGGCTAAAATGCCATGTTTCAATTCTTCCAAGGCATTCGGGGTCTTTTCAGCCGAACTGACAATTATCCTTGGTGGCTCTAATCCTAAATTACAACGCTCCCATTCTTTGATAGGCACCTGACCACCATTCGGGCAAAGCAAGGCATAGTCTTCCTGTTTGCCTGCATCGTCCTTCTCGTTATCTAAAATATGATATATGTTTATGAAATAGCAAATAATTGAATATAATCAAATATAATTTATTATACTCACCGAACTGCTTCAAAGACGTTAAAGGTGTCTTCGGCGGGAACTGCGATTACACATGTCCCGATGACGACAGCAACGTCGGTGAATCCGGAGCCAATGCGCGCTGCCGCATGTCACCCACCATCGAGTCGCGAGTCTCGCCTCGTCGGCGATAACTGATGGAGTAAGATGGTTGCTCGCGGCCGGTAGTGCGTTGCGTTCCCGAGACTTTTCCGAAACGTTAATTATAATAATAAGGGACGAGGCTTCAATTCCGCCGTAGTCTCGTCGCATCGTCGTCCTCGAAGCATGGCGCATCAAATGCTCTCGTCGGCCAGCAAACTCGAAAGACTGATTCTCAGGTCCACTCAGAAAGGTTATTTCGACACGCTTCAGGTACTTATTAGTGTATTATAACCTGCTGTCTCGCGTAATATTCGCGATATTTAATTGCTGTGATTGTCTGGCAATTTCTTTTATCAGTGACATGACAAATGTCATCATCGTGACGCTCGATTCTGCGATCATTTTTTATTGCAAATTCCGAACACCTGTGTAAATTTTTGTATGGTTAGTATATTTACTAGTTCTAAATATAATTTTACCGAGAAAACACACTTACATGTTTATTGTCATCGCTTGCACCTTTTCGTGTAATCGCGTGTAAATTTGCCGATTGCCGTAATTTAATGTATAGTTTACGTCAGCTTTGCAATCGTTATTTGCAGTTTTCGTGAGATCACGTGTCCGAAATGATGAACAATGATGACATAAATCTTGTCATTTTTAAAAATATTTTTTGCATTAGAACAATAACATTAAGCCAAGATATATTCTTTCAGTTGAAGCGACACTTAACTTTGCTTAAAAATGGTACATCGTTATCCATGTTTGAGCAGTTGCAACAGAAATTAAGATTATTTTGTAAACAGCCACCTAAAGGATTTGAAAAGTTTTTCAAACCAGGTAAACCTGATATTTTTATTCAATGTCTCTTTCCTCTAATAAATTTGTATCGTTTTTAATGATTGATATAATACTGTGTATATATAGGTGGAGCCAAAAATGCAGAAAATGTTGCTAAGAAGGCAGAGGAAGCATCGAGTAAAAAAACTAGTACACAGAAACCTTCTTCATCTACCTCTAGCTCGTCATCCAGTTCCAAAGATTCTGGTTTCCAGTGGCCATTTAAGATTTCCAGCGACAGTTCACAGCGAGCAGGTAAATCGTTCGAAGGTGGTGACAAGGATAGGACATTCATGATTCTGGGCGCACTTGGAACAACTGGTCTGATTGCATATATACTTGCCCAGGATTTCAATCAGAAGGAGATCACATGGAGGGAATTTACATACAAGTGAGTACATTAGATTCCTGCAAGTACATATAGTTAATATATGTTCTGATGAAATAGCAAATATATATTGATTATACAAATTAAAAGTGATTAATATACAATATATAAAAGTGATTAATTACAATTATGCTAATTATATATCTTTTCTTCTTTCAGTTATTTAAGTAAAGGTATTGTCGACAAATTAGAAGTGGTAAATAAAAAGTGGGTGCGTGTAAAACTTCTACCTGGACATACTGTTGATGGTTCTGTAAGTTCTTCTTTGCAAGATCAATAATTTACTTATTTTCAGTCAGTTGTGTCAGAGTTTGATGTTTTTTTTTATAGGATATATTGTGGTTCAATATTGGAAGTACTGATACTTTTGAAAGAAATCTGGAAAATGCACAAATAGAATTAAACATAGGACCGGAGAATTATATTCCTGTGGTTTATAAAAATGAATTGGAAGGATCGACTCTATTGTCATATCTACCACAGATTCTTATGTGGGGTGAGCAATTAATTATTAATTTTGTTTATTATATTAATACAGAGAGCAAAATAATCTTTATATCTGTATATTATAAATATCAAAAAATATATTTTAGGACTGCTCCTTTACTTAATACGAAGATCTGCGGAAGCAATGACTGGTAAAGGTGGTAAAAGAGGTGGACTTTTTGGCACAGTAATGGAATCGACAGCAAAATTAATAAATTCGAAAGATATTGGTGTACGATTTAAGTGAGTAATCAATATTTTTTGTTATTGCATCAATTACATTATTACATAACATTATTATATAAGTGTAACATTTTTGTTTATCAATGTCTCATTTATATTACACATTAGAGATGTAGCTGGTTGTGAAGAAGCTAAGATTGAAATTATGGAGTTTGTAAATTTCTTGAAGAACCCGCAGCAATATATAGATCTCGGGGCTAAGATTCCAAAAGGCGCTATGTTAACAGGTAACTTTATCAATTTAGATAAAATTTTTAATAGTGAAATGCACGTTTCATATTTAAAATATCACAAGTGTCATGATATTTTTTTTATAGGGCCACCTGGTACTGGTAAAACTTTATTAGCCAAAGCTACGGCCGGTGAAGCGAACGTACCTTTCATTACGGTATCCGGTTCGGAATTCTTGGAAATGTTTGTGGGTGTCGGTCCATCAAGAGTGCGCGATATGTTCTCTATGGCGCGAAAACATGCACCTTGTATATTATTTATCGATGAGATCGATGCGGTAGGACGGAAGAGAGGAGGTCGGAACTTTGCGGGACATTCTGAGCAAGAAAATACATTGAATCAACTCTTGGTAGAAATGGATGGTACATCTTACCTTCAAGTATGAAGACATCGAAAGCGTTGCGAATGATTTTTAACGTTCTACTATCTTTTTTTAGGATTTAACACGACGACCAACGTGGTGGTGTTGGCGGCAACTAATAGGGTAGACATTTTAGATAAGGCGTTACTTAGACCTGGAAGATTCGATAGACAAATATTTGTACCTGCGCCCGATATCAAAGGACGAGCGTCCATTTTCAAAGTGCATTTAGCTCCTTTGAAAACTATACTGGACAAGGATCAGTTAGCGCGAAAGATGGCTTCTTTGACTCCTGGCTTTACAGGTATATAATCGATTGTATTGAATCTTTTTGAGAAAAATATACATATAAAAATAGAAATATATTAATAAAATTTTCCAAAATAAAAACTAAATGAAAACCGTCAGGGCATCATATATAGATTTTTTCAGGAGCTGATATCGCGAACGTTTGCAATGAAGCGGCCCTGATCGCGGCAAGAGATTTGAATGATGATATTCAGCTTAAAAACTTTGAACAAGCTATCGAGAGGGTAGTTGCCGGCATGGAAAAGAAGACCAATGTGTTGCAACCTGAGGAGAAGAAGACAGTCGCGTATCACGAAGCTGGTCATGCGGTAGCCGGCTGGTTCTTAGAGTATGCGGATCCGCTTCTGAAGGTACCGTATCTATTAATTTTTCGCGATGATATAATTTTGTCATTATTGTCTAAACTTTTGTTATTTCCCTTAGGTGTCGATTATCCCGCGCGGTAAAGGATTAGGATATGCCCAGTATTTGCCACGTGAACAATATCTTTACACGAAGGAACAGTTATTCGATCGGATGTGTATGACGCTCGGAGGACGAGTATCGGAAGAAATCTTTTTCGGCCGCATAACCACAGGCGCTCAGGACGATTTGCAAAAGGTATTATTATGATTAATAATATCGTATCTTTTTTTGTCAAATTATCATTGTATGGGTTTGTTCTTTTCAGCTGAACTGGCTGCACTAATTCAGAGTTTATCTCTTTTTTTTACAATATGAAGTAAAAAAAGATAAATTCTGAACTAGTGCAGTCAGTTCAGCTGAAAAGAACAGACCTTTTATTTCCCATTCGTTTTAAAGATTACAGAAATTGCATATGCGCAAATTACGCAATATGGTATGAACGAGAAGGTCGGGAATGTCAGCTTTCAAATGCCGAAGCCAGGAGACATGGCTCTGGACAAACCATATTCCGAATATACTGCGCAACTTATCGACAATGAGGTCCGAGATTTGATCGACAGGGCGCATAAACGAACGCGAGCCCTTCTGAACGAGCACAAACAAAATGTAATCAAGGTAAGAGCTATTTCATATCGTCTACTTAAATATTTGAGTAACTTAACGCGTGCTGTAAATTAAAATTTACGATTTCAGGTCGCCGAGAGATTATTGAAGCAGGAGATTTTAAGTAGGGACGACATGATCGAATTACTTGGTGCTCGTCCATTCCGCGAGAAATCCACTTACGAAGAATTCGTCGAAGGCACTGGCTCTTTCGAAGAGGACACTTCGTTACCGGAAGGATTGAAGGAATGGAACAAGCCTAGGGAAGAATCCTCCGAGGATGGTGACAAGAAGGACAAAACGGCGGAGTCTGGCGAGTCGCAGACGCAACCTTCTAAAGCAGCCTCCAGTGATAAACAGCCGCAGCAACGACTATAACCTGTAACATTTTAGTCTCGCAACTTTGTATAATAGTTCGAAATACACAATCATAACAATATAAGTGAAGATGTTCAACAGTATATTCAGCTGCATCAACTGTTGTAACCGCTGTACACGATAAGGTCGTCAGTTTTTAACGCGACGTTCCTGTGATGTGTAGTTCTTGTAAATTAAATTTAAATTGCTTTCTATGAATTTTCTTTTCGTAAATCGGTTTTTCATCTTCGTATCGGTTGAGAATAGTATTGTAAAAAGTAACACTAGAAAAACTCTTAGAAATTTTAAGCTCTCTTACATTATGTGTTTGTAATAAAACTGTGCAGATTAACTTAATTCTTTTTGGATAATTATCAAAGATAAATTCTTTTGTGGCATCACCCTTCACGTTTTTTGATGAAACAAAGGTGGGCAAACAAGATTTAAAAAAAAGTGATATCTCCAAGTTCGATATACTTAATTTTTAAGAATAACAATTTCATTTTACATATTTATCAATTTTCACGTTTTTCACTAAAATGACATAAACGCTTTTTCAAAGAAAAAAACTCAAAAGATTATAGAAATGCAGAGTCGGATAAATCGTCCCATGTTGCAATCCATATTTAAGGTTTAGTTTATTGATAAGAAACATATCAGTAACACGATCGGCTTCTGCATTACATTACTGGGTACGAATTAATTTACGTCTGACGTGTGTGTCGCTTATTGCACATCGCTGTAAATATATATATATATATATATATATATATATATATATGTATATATATATATATATATATATATATATATATATGTATATATATATGTAAAATTGCTTTCGTCGAGATTCGCGACGATGCTCCACATCGTCGCGGCTTGTGCTACGTAAAATTTGTAAAAGTGTATCCGCCACTATTTTTTTATTCGTGATTCACTCGTTGATCGAGCGCTTTTGTCGTCACGTAAAACGTTTTATCCTACACATCTCGGGTGAATGCTTCTTTGTGTCTTGTTAATTCAACGCTCGATTCAACACCTGACACGCGAAATCTGATCTGATCTGATCTGACCTGACCTCGATTAATTTGAGAATTTCAATGAAAAATAATCGTCACTATAAGCGAACGAATAACATAAAAAGTCTGAAAAATTGTTTGAAACGCCTCAAGATTATCTGAAATAGTAGTTTTTTTTATCGTAATCACATATCTGAGCATCATATACTGTGGGATCGATCTTGTCCTCGTGACAGGTACTGAATCTACGAAGATGTTAAACACAGGGTTTTTCTATCCCCTTGAAAGGGGATAATCATTCTATATCAACGGGTGTACAGATGCAACGACACGACGTTATAAATGACTAATAAAGTCTGGTTTGACATTAAAAAGTACGCGCAACGTGTACATATTTCTATAGTTGAAGTTTGGTGTTACATTGTTCCAAAGTTGGCATATATTCACCTTTATCACTGTTCGTACATGCACGAGTTCTTGCAATTCGTAGTCCGTAAAATTGTGTGTGTGTGTATGCGTGTGTGAGAAAAAGTTACGCACAATGAATCAATTTTGATATTACAACGGAGAATTCAGGTTCAATCTCATCATTTATCGGCTTTATACGAGTAAAGATAAGCCGCAAATAATAGATTCCATCCAATTTCCGCGTATATATTTCATCAACAAAACAATGTTCACCAGAAAAACAAAGATTTAGAAAACGACTAATGTCATTTCTTATTATGCTGAATTTAAAAAAATTCTTAAATTTTCTTTTTTATAAAAAAAATTCTTTTTATTCTGATAATTCATTCTTCGGCCATTTGTTCGTAGCGTGTTTCGTTGGAAATATTTGATCTACGCATATTTATTTCAATGCATTGCAGACATAATGTTATTTTTTATTGCGATGCATTTGCACAGACGTGTCTTACATATTTAATGACGTTGAAAAAATTGATACCCATATGCGTGATGAAAAGTAAGCCTCGCGATATATGTAAATGTAAGTATCGAGTCGTTTGCTAACAAATTGCGCGCTGTGTGTATATTTTCTAAAAATTCTATATAAAGTTTGCTTCCGGGATGTGTTGAAAGAAGTGAATTCCTCTACCAATTCACTTTTATTTACGCTACAAATTTATGCGGTTACAAGTTTCCGATAGCAATAAATTTCTTGCGTTCCTTTCACCTCTCGTTAAAAACTTGACGTTCAGACAGATCAGAGTAAACCTTCTGCCGACGCGATCTCATTTATGTAACGCAAATTTTTCCACGATAATATTGCCACGAAAATGAAAAATTATCATACACTAGTACTAGCCAATAATTGTGCCGAACGGTTCTTTTGGAATGGTTTAAAAAAAAAATAAGAAAAAAATTCATTTCACTTTCAGTCTCCTTTAAATGAGGTTTTTCATTTTATGTATAGTGTATCATCAACAATACAAGTGAATGTCGTAAATCATTCATCATAAGCGATATTCTGCACTGCGATATGGATTTTTCTTTCTTTTTCTTTCGGCGTGCATAAATTTGGCACCTGTATATAACATTTCCCACTTTTTAATGACGTAGTGTTGCATCATATTATCGAAATTTAAAGGCTGTATCTTATTTTTTTTTTTCGAACAATTATTCAAAGCTCATTCCGTTAAAAGACGCGAATAATCACCTCGAAGGATTAATTGATTGTTTTTTTTTTCAATTATTCAAGAAAAATTTGTCTTGCCGATACGAAAGAAAAAGATCGTCGCAGATTTCTCTGTGATCGGGTTTTATAATATATATGTGTATATATTGCGGTTCTCTGTCTCTGCCCATTAGCTTTCATCAAACTACCAATTTTTTTCTTTTTTTTTCTTTTTTTCCTAAATTTTTGATCCCAAGACAGTTTTACTCTGAAATGGCAATCTTCCCAGCGTTTCTACAAAACTATACGATTTATATCGAGTAAATATTTATAGATTTCGAAAGTATCGTTAACTTAGCACTAATTTGCTAATCAAGTATATCGTACAATCACTAAATTATTGCTTTGTCGTACCTTGTATCACACTAATCTAAACCCTATGTTCCTTATATGCGTTTTTTTCTATCTTTTTTCCCTCTTTCCGCTTCCGTTTTTCGTGAAAAGCCAGGTTTAGCGGTGATCATGCCTGCTTCTCCGCAAGTTCGTGTTTGCATATGGATGTGTGCACGATTTCGCAGATGCATTCTTCTTTTATAACACATTAACTACCGCGACACATTCCTTCGCGCGTTTCACTCTTCGTTAGAATCAATTACAATTATTCCAGAAATATATTAATCGACGGAATCATACTTGAAATTTCTTCCTTTTTTCGTCCGCGGATATATTATTTTCAAAAATCTTGAGAAATAATTTTAATTTTGTTGTCGAGCGAGAGAGATGCATATCTTATCTCTGTATCAACAAAATGCAACAAGTATATATAATATTAATCTAATCTATTTGGACCTATAAAACGACATTATCAGATTGAAAACAAATACAAATTTCAGTGCAATTCCGTCGATTAACACATACATGTACATACATCTATATATAAGTGTATATAGTTTCCTTTGTGTGTGTGTGTGTGTGTGTATATGTATAATAGATGCCTTTTGCCTCCCTTCTCTTTCTGTGTGTCTAAGTATTATTTTTCTATTTACGTGTACAATGCTTGTCACATTTTCGTTGTTCTTTTTTTATACGTTCGATATATTAACATTCAGTTAGTTGAGTGAGTTATTCTTCCTATCGCTTATATTGACGATTCTTATCACCTCGAAGACGATATATGTATGTATACTACGACTGTTAAATTCGCCTTTTGCGCACACGCGCGCGGCATAGAAATGGTTTTTAGCAACTTGGTCCTCTTGAATTGGGAGTCTTTATATAAGTGCGCGACACCGCGTTTTTCCGGTTCCTGCCTTCTCATTCCATATATTATTTTGTTGCTCTCGCATGTCATATCGCTTTTACAATCGAAAATGCTTCTTTCCTTTTTTTTTTTTTACATTCGACTTGATATATTATATAAACGCCTTATCGTAAAAAGGTTTCTGTAAAGGATCAGATCGATACAAATGTGAGACACGAATAATTGCACTCGCTTTATATTACGATATAGCAAAAAATGCATTCGTGTACATATACGTATGTAATTACGAATGTCAATCCTTATCTGAGCAACGTCGACTCATAAAATTCACGAAACGAAGTCATTCCCTCTCTAAAGCAAATTTCCACCGTTATAATATATTCTAGATTATTTTTAATCATTTGAAAACAAATATATATATATATATATATACATATATATTTACGGAGAGAGATGTGTGAAATATTTTATACAGAGATATATAAAATTAACAAAATATATTTTTATTTTATACAATATTATATTTTTATATATGTCTAACAACGAGTGACTTTTTATCTTTTAGGTTGTTCGGATAAGGATTAATCCGTATCTGACATCTCCGTTGTTTGTCCTATGAAACGAAAAAAAGTTTCAAGACGAATGCGCCCAATTTGCGAGGTTTCTGTTGTTTTCAGACCCAACACGAGGAATACGGACGAAGAACTTTCCTCAGACGTGAGAACCGTATGAGGCATGATCGTCCTGGGGCCTGGCTTAAATCATCTCTCTGTGCATCTTCCTTTTTCTATTTTTTTTAATAATAATTGGCTGTGCCCTCATCTATCTCGCGCTTACGAGTATCTGTTCTGTAACTTGTTTTGCGATCTCATCCTCTAGACAATTCGCCATTCTTTTCTTGCTCCTCTAGTTCTCGTTAAATTTCACGTCGATAGATATCGATTTCGCAGCAAGATTTCGTGAACGCCTTATTATAAATTCGTACAAGGCAAAAATCATTTTTGTCAGTGTAAAATTAAATTTTGTGCAATGGTTATTTATATTTCATATATTTAGTCTATAATTTATTTGTCTATCAAATTTATGTACAAAAAAATAAAAAATCGTTAGAAGACAGTTCAGCCAATAAAATTCATTTTTATCATAAAAATGGAATTAAATATCGCAGGATTTTCAAATATATATAATTTCGTTACCAGCACACAAATGTGTGCAAATGTATGGTGAGACGAAATCGTGCCACGAAACATCGTTTCACTTCTTGTCACCCTTCTTGCTCGCGATACTAAAACTACTGTAAACTGTGCCACGATGTTCACGTATTCTCGATGGAGCTCACTTGGGACTCAACTTTGGTACGGGGTCGCGGATAAATGCTCATCCTCCTTCACGTTTCTATCTATTTTTTTTCTCCTATTATTGACTACCGTTACGAGTTTTACTCTATTAATTATAGATTCGATTGACTGTCGAGTATTGTAATACGGTACAAGAGAGACGAGTGTCTACAGTTAAAATCTCAAATATATTATACGAAAAAACGGTGGCCGAGTTGCTGAACTACGTGCGTTTCGTGATTTCCCGTAAGACTACAGATCTACTTTCTTGCGAGACGACTTTATACGAGTCGAGATGCGAAATGTAAGAACAAAATACGAGCAACGTCTTGCGGAAAATGGGATTAAGGAATTACAAATTTTTGAAAGAGCGAAATTTATCATTTCTCTGTAAAATCATTATTTCATCATTGTAATGATGCAGGAGATTTCAACCTGCATATATATATATATATTAAAGAACTGCCTATGTTTCTCGGGTCGATTATTTTTTAACACATTTTTTTTTCAATTTCGTTGCTCCTTTCAGTTATTATTGCATTAGTGGATGTTGTGAATTTTTCTTCCACGCATTTCTCATATCTTCTTTTTACATTTCGGTGCATCTCGACGTCACGTTCTCGAGAGGAAGGGAAAATGAATCTTAGGTAAAGGAGACTTCTGGCGACTTCTCCTCTTCCTCTCCGCTTATCGCTGCATTTTCTACGGCGAATAAAAAGCGATCAAGGTCTACTTCACTTGGTGTTGATACTTTTGTACTAACTAAAATCACTAAATCTCTCTCTTTCTCTCGCTCACTGGGCGCTAAAATCTCGTTAACGATAAGCGTGTACGTGGTGGAACCACGTGCGTATTACTGTACGTTTAATTAATTAATTAATTAATTAATTAATTAAGTTCGATCGATCCCTCCCTCGTTATCTTACAATCGCTCGTAAAGTTTTTTCGTACCAAAATATGTCTAAGTTATATTAGAAACGCTCTAGAGACGTGCAAAGAGACACGGGGATGGGAGGGTGGAAAAAAGTAAGGGGTTTAAAATATATGCGACGAGAGAGAGAGAAAAAATATAAGCGTCACTTTTTCTTCCTTCTCGCTTATACATGCGACCGCCTTAGGCAACTAAGATAAAAGGGATGTAATTCAAGCGCAACTTGTTGACTAGATCGTAAGTACTTTTTCTTCTCCCCTTATAATTCCATCCTCTCCTCTGCTCCTCCTTCTCTCTCTCTTTCTTTCTGTTTCCTTTCTCCCTGTTTTTCTCCTTTTTTGGTCATATCTTTAGTGTGACGTTGCGAAATGCAACCGTCTATAAAACGCACTCATTCACTCTTTTCATTCTTCTTGCTCGAAGCGCGAAAAAAATATCTCTCAAATATAATATAATATCTCCTTGTCGGTATATTAGATTTTCACCTGCTACATACGCGATTTTTTATTATATTGCTAAAAGGTAGGAATCACGTTCTACTCATAAAAAGTAATCGTATGACTAGATATCAGCGAATCTCGAGACTTTATAAAATAAAGTAAATAAATTGAGCAACAATATTCCTATTAATACTGAGGATGACTAAATATTTCATTTCCTAAAGCTCTATATATATATACACATATACATAAATAAATTGTACAATAACAAGATATGTAAAAAAAAAAAATAAAAAAATTGATAATATATCATATTTTATAGGAACTCTCTGGGAATATGTGTGATAGGAAAAGAACGCTTAAAAAAGTAATCTCATCGCGCTTTGTCACGTGGAGCATTAAAAATTTAAAAGAAGGGTAATTTCAATATCCTATAAAAATCACTTGAAATATCTGAATGACATCGCCGATAGATTGAAGGGAAATCCGGGATGTATCTTTTTCTCGCCCGGATGTGCAAAAAAATATCGATAAACTTAAACGAAACGTTACAATTGCTCGCGCTTTTAACAACCGAGGAAATGATGTGTTCCATAATTCAGGGTAGCAGTACGACCGACCCTTTTGCCACCGAATGGTCATTTCTGCATTCAACAGGTGGTCCAGTTTACGTGAAATGTTGATGAAAACTTTCCACGAGCACCCGCGCGTGCGTTACGTTAAGGATCCCGGCAAAAATCGCGCAAGAGTGCATCATTAAATGCGCAAACGATCTTCCATTAGGTGGCATCGTTATATACAACGATACTTTTATACGAAAAAAAGAATAGAAAAAATTACCTTATAACGATCATTCAATTTTCGATAATCCCCTTCGCATGGCCAGATTGAAAGAACCTAATTTTAATTGGATCTTTTGAGATCGTTCTTTTAAAAAATAAGATTAAAATAGAGATATTTTTCGTTTGAGAAGATTAAAAGTTTTCTCGTTTCGGAAGAGAAAGGAGCAAAAAAGAGCAACCGATGAATCTTCATCGTCGAGCAAAGATGGATGAAAAAAGCGCTTCTTTAAACTACATAAGAAACTTATTGCACTATTTTCGACTTTATCGCTGCTCATTCCGACGAGAGCATCTCGATTCGTCGTTCTTGCGAATTCACGAAATGAGATGGTGTATCTGCGATGCTATCGTATCGATCTTCGCAAGAGAGGACGCCCAAACATATTGATATCGTTTATGAAATATTGAAATATCTTTTTATGTCGAGGCATCCTCACAAGACTGCAGACTCGCCTAAAAATAACTTGGCGAATCAAAATATAGATCTTCTCGCACTGATGGAAAAGAAGTTTCTCTCCGTATCTCGAAAAACGAGATCTCAATGGTCGGCGAGATTTCATCTTTATTTCATTTATTTTTATTTTTTTTTTTAATACGTTAGTACTTCATTCAGGAAAAAATTCTTTGGAGAAATCAACGCACAGAGATTTTGAAGAAATTGAAGTTTATCGTAGGTGGAAAATGTAGTTGGCAACGAATGAAAAATTAATGAGCGACTTCATCGATTCTCGTTAGCGAAAAAAGGGTGGAATTTGGAAATATCCGCGCAAATATATATATATCCTCCTCTTCCGGCGTCGAGGGAAGAGAGAGAGAGAGAATCGGGAAAACGATCTCGAAAATAGAACCGGGCGCTGAAACACGCGAGAAGAGAAGCGCTTGGTGAAATATTCAGAGAGAGACTTCTTTTCCTCTCCGCGAAGTGGAGGAGACGAGCGCGAGATCCAGGGACGCCGATATGTCAATTACCCTCTCGTCCTCGTTCCCAGTAGCAGCCGCCGAGATTTTCGCCCATCCGCGACGTTTAAAGCCGACGAGTAAATCGAATTACTTTGCGCTTACCGAGAGATATCCGTTGAAATTGGATGTTACCGGAGATTCGACGTCTGATCGTCTTCTATGATGCACAAAAGAGCGGAGCTCTTCTTGACAGTTGACAGCAAGTCATTAGTCCATTCTGTAATTTTGAGGAAAATCTTACAGAATAACTGAAAGCTGTTTCTTTCTCTTCTTCTCTCTTTCTTTTTTTTTTTTTTTTTTTTTTTTTACATTTCACGTATCCTCCATTTTAATCTTTCCGGATTTAGCGGAAAGCAGAGTTCTGGTTATGACGAATTTTTCGAAATCTCGCGTTTAGTCGCGTTAATTTTAGAAAAAAAGTAGAACATTTCACTTAAAAAAAAGAAATTCGAGAGAGAGATTTTATGATAAATCAATAAATAAAAATAAAACATACATTCGAGATTTTCATTCAGTACACGTCAAATTGACATATGTATATTTAAGATGTGATGTCTAATAAAAATAATTTACGAAAATACCAATATTATGAAAAATTTCGATATTAAATTTTGCACACACAACGTGCAATTTTTTTAAGCTCAAAGCCAAGAGGAGCAAGAGTTGCTGCCGTTATATCCAACTGAATGGCAGACTCGAATTCCGTGTGAAACAATCGAAAGCAATCGCATCCGCATGAGAGGTCTGCAGCGACTTTCCGTGTATTTGTATATGTGTAAATGTGTGCGCGTATGTACGTGTTCGTCTTCCCTTTCTGTCCCTTTGGTCCATGAATGGATGCACAAAGGTGTACATCTATATGCAACATATGTACTGCTTCCTCTTTCTACATCGCCGGCCAACGCCACTGCAATCGTCTCTGTTTACGTCATGCATGACCGGCTGCAAATTGCGGATTGATCGGTTAACACGGGCGCGCTATTAGGTTTAAATACGAGAACAACAGTCGCGATCGATCGCGGGACTGTCGCGGCGAATTAAAGTGCCTGTTCACTCACGAATGTGGAAATGAAAACGCAAAGTCGCTCGCGACACGCGCGAGTTTAAGTATTTTTCCAACGAGAAACAAGAAGAATGAAGAAATCGACGTCGATTTTCTTTAACTCAAAAAAAAATTACGAAAAAATAATTTATTTCCGCGAACCTTAAAGCTATGTCCTCACTGGAGCAACTTTTTTAAGAAACATGGAACATCAATTAAAAGTTGCTCCAGTGAGGACGCAGCTTATGAAATTTTCGGCAACAACTAGCAGCTTTCTTAAGAAACATGGAATATTAAAAAGCTGCTCGTTATTGCTCCAGTGAAGACGCAGCTCTATGTATTCATTGGAGCAACAACAAACAACATTTTTAAGAAACATGAAACATCGACAAAAAGTTGCTCCAGTGAAGACACAGTTTATGAAATTTTCGGCAACAACTGGCAGCTTTCTTAAGAAACATGGAATATTAAAAAGCTGCTTGTTATTGCTCCAGTGAAGACGCAGCTCTATGTTCTCATTGGAGCAACAACATTTTGAAGAAACATGAAACAGCGACAAAAAGTTGCTCCAGTGAGAACACAGCTTGAAATTTTCGATAACAACCAGTGAAGACATAACTTTACCTACGTCCTGATCGTCGCGTCCTCGACATCCCAGTCTTATGACGGCGCGTCGACGTCACAGCTGCCTTCGCTCTCGTTCTCGCGTTGACACGCCGATTCCAGGTGTTTATTCAAGTAAGACTTGAGCGCGAACGACTTGTGACACTTGGGGCACTCGTAGTTCTTATCAGACGAGTGGGTCTGCATGTGCGCCCGTAGATTCGAGCGATCGGCGAACGCCTTGCCGCAGTGGGCGCACCCGTACGGCTTCTCCCCGGTGTGACTTCGCAGATGACCCTGCAGCAGCCAGGGTCGCGAGAACATCTTGCCGCATACGCCGCAGCTGTGCGTGAGCTTGTGCGTGAGCACGTGCATCGCCAGGGCGGGCATACTGACGTAAGCCTTGCCGCAGTGGATGCACTTCTTGGCCGATTGCGAGTCGATGCTGCGATGCGTCTGCTTGTGCCGCGACAGATTCGACGAGGTCGCGTATTGCTTGCCTGATGTGAACAGAGAGAAGAGCAGCGGGTTCACCGGACCGAATATTCGCACAATGTTCGTTAACTTTGTGTATCTCGAGATTATCGTATCCACGATATTCGTTGACTTAAACATTGATCATTTTTACTGTTACACAGAGAGAATTTTCTCTTAATTTATCCTACAAATCAAAATAAAAATGATTAATATCTACCACAATAAGATATTAAATATGTTCGATTAATTTTATTATAAACATATTAATATTTTTGTATTGTGGTAAATATTAAGCTCAGAGAAGCTCTTTCAATGGCATATTGTCTCACAATTGATTTTCAGGATAAATTCTTCTAATTGTAAGAGAATTCTTCTAATTGTAAGGGAAAATTCTCTTCGCGTAAAAATATATAATATAAAATAATATTATAGAAAATTGTAGGAATAATGTGCGGTATAATTATTAAAAAATTATCATGAAAATGTATGATGTAATGTTAAAACTCTGTCTTAATTTTTTTTACTACTTAATGTGTTATAACACAGAGATAAAATATTATATTTTCAACTTTTTTTTTACTTTTTTGCTAAAGTTTTCTGTAAAAGGATGAGATATTAATATTTAATGTATGTAATGAGAGTGCTATCGAGGGCATGTATTGTACTTGATACATAATTGTGATTGCAATCTTTAATATATTATATTAACCCATGAATTATATATATTTTCAACATATTATAATCACGAAAAGAATATTATAAAAAATCCTTGCATTCTTTTTTCCATATTACAGATTAAGCGTGTGAGATAGAGTATTTAGAATACGATTCTCTTCTCGCATAAAATATGACCTGAAACTGGATCAACAAATTTAAATACAAGCAAGCGTCGAAATATCTGTCAGAAATAAAAAGGTAAAAAAAAATAATACGAAACAAATATGCTATAAAATCAATAAATGAAAAAAAAAAAACAATAGAAAAGAGACATCCATCTTTTCAATATCCTCACCGCACTCGCAGCACATATAACGACCGGTCTTGGAGGTCTCGGGCGTCTCGATCGGTTCGGTCTCCTGGTTCTTCTGCGCGGGAGGCGCCTTCTTGTTCTTCGACCTGCCATCCGAGACGAGCAACGTGTCGTACGTGTAACTAGCCGGCTTCACCCCTTCCGCCTGCTCGGTGATGGTCTGCACCTCCTTGTCCCTCTGCGTCGGCTGCGAGTTGGGGTTGCTGTTCTCGATGTCGCTGCTGCACTCGGAGGTCGGTGGCGTCAAGGGCGGCGTCGCCTCTATCTGTTGCTGTGGCAACGGCTGCTGCTGCGATTGTGGTTGCTGCTGCTGTTGCTGCTGCAGCAGAGGCGGAGGCGGCTGATGCTGCGATTGCTGAGCGACGATTGACGTGCACGGTATGGTAGACGTGCTGTACGTGAGCAGAATCTCCTGGACCGGCGACAGAGGTATAAAGACGCTGCCCGAGGGTGGCACGATAGTCGCAGTGGGTTCATAGATGATGCCTGCGGCCGGAGCGGGTTGTTGCTGCGTTTGTTGCTGATGATGATGATGATGATGATGATGATGATGTTGGCCGTAGAGAGTCGAGCCAGCCAGGTCGATCGTGTTCACCTGATAAATCGACTGCTCCGGTTGGTAGACTGTCATCTCCTGGACGTCGCTCGCTGGTGCCTCGATCACGCTCTGAGGACCGATCGCGACACTGGGCGGCGGCAATGGCGGCAAGGATCGCGACAACTCCAGGAGGTCGTGCGCCGCCTCCGTCTCCGCCGCGGAGCGATCCTTGAACATGGACGAGACGACGTTGCTGGGTGTAAGCACTCCGCAGGACGCCGGGGCGAGTCGTATCCTGAAGTCGTTGGTCGCCCTCGAGTGCTCCGGAGCGTCGTCCAGGTGGCAGGCCGTCGTCGACGAGTCCCCGGTGGACGTTGGAAGGTACAGGTCGTACCGAGGTGCCGGGTTCGGCCGCACCACGGTCGGCGGAGGTAAGGATGGAACGACCGGCATCGTCGTCGTCGCCGTCGTCGTCGTCGTCGTCGTCGTCGTCAGCGCCGTCGTCGCGGTCGTTTTCTCGACGGCGGAGACGATCGATGCCGTCGGCGACGGAACCGTCGGGGACGTCGTCGTGGTGCAAGGCGTCACGGTGATGACGGTGGTCGTCTCCATCCGCATCGTCATCGAGCACTCGGTCGTTGATATCGCGTCCGTGGAGATGACCGAGACTGACGACGACGACGACGATGATGATGATAATGATGATGATGATGATGACAATAACGACGAAGCTACTATCGTTGTCGTCGTGGACGCACTACCCGCGTCGCTCGAAACTTCCTCCTTCAAGGACTTAGCCTCGGGCACGGCGGAAGTCATCGGTTGCGTGTCGGGACACTCTGTTGGGAATCAGAGTTGATAAGTTTACGGCGTTCGTGATGATTCCGCACAGAGAGAATTTTCTCGTAAAATTGACCCTGAAAATCATGGTAATCGTGCGACAATATGGTATTGGAAAAAAATATTAATCGGAGAAACTCTTTATAAGATTCTTCCAGTACCATATCGTCGCACGATTACCATGATTTTCAGGGTAAATTCTAAGAGAAAATTCTCTCGATGCAGATAGTCTGAGATACATCTTATATACAGTTATGTGCAAAATAAAAGCACCGGTTGAAGAAATGAGAGGAATTTGTATGTTTCCTCCAGCATCGAGTAATTATTAAAGGATTTCCTGGTATTCGTCGGTTCGTTCAAAGACCACAAAAGTCAGAATTTAATCCTAGACGTACAGTCAAGCCAGTCAAACATTGTGGAGGAAACATACAAATTCCCCTCATTTTTTCAACCTGTGCTATTATTACATAACTGTACATCTTATATCTAAGCAAATCGATTGAAATCGGCTCGTATTACTGCGAGACGTCTCTGTTCGTGCCGCGAGGGTGTAATCTCGCTTTCTTCGCTTCCGTTTGACTTTTTAATCGAGATTTAACAGCGCCACGGGTTTCTAAATGGAATAAGAATGGTATCCGATTCTCGTTACCGACGCGATAGCGGAGTGTCGAACCTTGATGATGGCAGCGGGAAGTGCAGCGTGCAGGAGAGAGAAAGAGGGAAGATGGGAAGGAAAATGTGGGTTGCACAATACGGATTGTGGAGATCGGTGGAGAGCAGGGGAGGAAGGTAGCGAGGGATTATGACGGCAAATATGTTAGAAACGAGGTCAAAGGGGATGGCAGCGGAGAGAAGCTAGAAGGTCGGCCGCGGAGTAAGCGGATATAAAATTTCACGATAACTCGGTTATGAAAGTGCACGTTTCGCTTTAAGAGAGCAACCGACTTCCTTACGCCACACCGTCTCTCGTCGATCCGTTTTAATATTTCTGCGTCCTTGTTTGTTCCTCCTCGCGCGCGAGGCGAGATAAATTTCTATTGCGATCACGAAGAGTTTGCGAACGGATCGACGTCGCTATGAATTATTATTGCGAATGTTCCTCGCCTCGTACGATATATATATATATATATATATGTATTGTTTCTCGTCGTATATCAACCTAGGGCCTAGGATATACGCAAAAGTTTTCCCGGAAATATATATTCCTGTGTGTCGCGCGGATATTGATATTCTTATACCGTAAAGGGAGATATGAGATTATAAAAGTTACATATCTTTATATATATACCTACACACATCTTTTTATATTAATAATGTATTTATATCAGCAAATTATTTTTTTCGAGTAAAAATGTGGAAGAGCTGCAGTAAAAATCAACATACAATCTTTAACAGTCTTGATAGACACTTTGGATGATTTTAAAATTAGCTAGTTAAAGAAGAGATGAAAATATGTAAATTCATCTTAAGATAAAAATGATTTTGTTTTAAATATATCTAGATAAAAGATAAAATTATATGGCGATTCATCTAGATAATTTTCACATAACATTATTTTTAAGACCGCTTATGTAAACACAGTATTAAAAAATGTAAATTATAAAAGGGATATAAAAATATATCCATACTTTTATTTATAAGCTTTTATCGTTTACTGATTAAGTTTTACACTAAAAAAAAAAAGATTTGTTAATTTAACTGAACCTATATTAATATTTAAGTCAAATATACGTTTTGTTAGATTTAACATATATATTTATTGTAATTTAAATATTTTTATATGTTTAATTAACAAAATAATATTTAGTTAAGTTAATACATTTTTTTGTCTATTAATTAAGTAATTTTATGTGCTATGACTTTAAACTAAATTATCTGAACATTATTCTAGATAATTCATATCTTTATTATCTATATAAAAATAAGATGGCGCCAAAATAGACGATGATCTATATAAAATTTCATTTATATAACAGTCCAAATACTGCTCTTTGCATCAAGTATTCTTTCTCTTTACACGTGTAAAAATACAATAGCGATTAATTTTCTTAATGAACACGCATCTTTGAGCCGTTCGGGAGAATTTCAATGAAAGGCACTTTGAAACGTTTCCGCAAACGCGATTTCGGCCAATTCCGAATTGCTTTCGAAACTCTCTCGTCTCTTCCGTCTAACGACACGCGCATTGCCATTACGATGATTCTGAGCGTCGCCTTTGTAACTGCATTTACCGTGTCTCGGCAAGTTTCGCATGCCATTTTCGCACGAAGAGAGTTTACGGATGCGCCGTACAAGTAGTAATACGCCACGGGGAATTCCACGGAACAATTAAGGTCGTTTCGTTGCGACCAGGCAACGCGCATTGTCGGGAATTACGTGGTGCGGCGCAGCAGCGTGTGCCATTATCGCTTGATAATTCGATACAAACGGCCCGGCGCGTTTATATGCATCCAAGTGAATTTCACAAAGTACCGCTAAAGTACTAAAACACTCGCGAGAGAATGCAAAAAAAAAAAAAGGAATAATTCTATCGCCCTTTTTTTAATATACTTGAAAGAGAGAGAGAGAGAGAGAGGAATTATTTTAATACGCGGAAAAATATGTTAGATTTTTAATAAATGCAATATATATATTTACAATTAATATAATAGAAATTTATTTCTGTATTATGAACATGTAATTAATAAATGATATGTATTATGTTAATTGGTAAATATTACATATTAATGAGTATATAAATATCTGTTTGCAATGAAGAAGGATTTTTCAAGCTTTTCTTCGACATCTCGAAACGCTGGTCGAGGTCGATGAACCATCGAGAAAAAGAGCGATATTTGTTGCGTGCAGAAAAACTCTAATGACAATACAACTTGTTATTGCGCGAGGACGTTGTTAATTAGCGGTCAGAGCGAAAGGCAACTACATATAACGTTTATTTCACCCATTGCATCTGATCTGATTTTTATTGCCCGCGCTTAACTCGAGAAAATACATTCTCAAGATCTGCATTCGTTATCCGAGCCATCGTGCATGCAAGCTGCATAATTGCAAGGATTATCTCGCATGCGATCGCAAAATTGCACGACGAGCTTTTTCAGTTTCAAACGATATCTTTTTTCTTCTATTCCCTAACGGCACACATATCCCGAAGACGTTCAGAGAACATCCTGAGGATGTTTGAATGTCCTCTGAATATCTTTCGGATATGTTGCGCTATTAGGATTGTTCATACATTGTTTAAAAAAAAAATTCTCTCTAAAAAAACGATATCTTTTTTTTCTATTCCCTAACAGCACATATATCCCGAAGACATTCAGAGAACATCCTGAAAGTGTTCAATATCTTTCGGATATATTGTGCTATTAGGGTTGTTCATACATTGTTTAAAAACAAAAAATTCTCTCTAAAAAACGATATCTTTTTTTTTCTATTCTCTAACAGCACATATCGTATATTCCGAAGACATTCAGAGAACATCCTGAAGATGTTCAATATCTTTCGGATATATTGTGCTTTTAGGGTTGTTCATACATTGTTTAAAAAAAAATTTCTCTCTTAAAAAAACGATATCTTTTTTTTTCTATCCCCTAACAGCACATATATCCCGAAGACATTCAGAGAACATCCTGAAGATGTTCAATATCTTTCGGATAAATTGTGTTATTAGGGTTGTTCATACATGGCTTAAAAAAAAATTTCTCTCTAAAAAAACGATATCTTTTCTTTTCTATTCCCTAACAGCACATATATCCCGAAGGCATTCAGAGAACATCCTGAAGATGTTCAATATTTTTCGGATATATTGTGCTATTAGGGTTGTTCATCATACATTATTAAAAAAAAAAAAAAACAATTCTTTTTCTAAAAATCGCGATGAAAACGTCTTCTAAGGGAGAAATACGCACCTTGTGCAACAGGGGGTGCAACGTGCCCCTCGGTGGGTGAGACGAGGAGCTGCATGGTGGTTGGCGATGGCGTGCTCCTTCCGCGACCCCAGCTCTCGAATCCTCTGGCAACGCTGCTTATGTACTTGTTGCACAAGGCCTTCTTCACCATGTAGCAACGCGGCATCTTGGCCTCTCTGATCGTCGCGCGCTTCTCACCGGGATTAATATCGCGGCGTATCGTTCTAAGATCACCAAACAATCGCGTTAAGCAAACAACCCTCTCTCTCTCTCTCTCTAGAGTATCCCTCGTCGTTTCTTCTTCGTCCTTCGAGTATACCTTATTGCGAGTATATATAATGTATGTATATATACGTTCCCGATGACGCGATTTGCAAAGTGTCAAACGTCAAAGTATCGCGTTCTCCCGCTCGCACCAGAGATCGCACTGCTTTTCCTCCTTTCGTCAATCTTCCACCACGTTTGGACGTCGATCGATCCCTCAATCGATGCTCCAAATGTCCGTCCCATCGATGCGCTTCCTCTCGGATATCCCGAGACGCGACATGATCGGATTGTTCCTTTTACACTCTTGAAATTCCTGTAGCGAGAAGCGCGACCTCCTTCAATAATTCACCAGGCGATATATCGTTATTTAATCCTAGACGTCGTTGCACGATTATTTTCAATAGGACTCCTGTGTAAATGTATATATATATATATTTATATTTATATTTATATTTATATTAATGTTTTTGTATATAATCATATAAGGATGAATGTGTGCGAGCGTACGTACGATCACGGTGTCTCTTATACGCGTGTATATACATTCATATTAAAATATCTCTCAAGTGAAGCAAAGCTGAGAGGAGCTCCCGATCGAGTCCCGGGGAAAGAAGGGATGAAATGCGCGATGTTGCGGTTTCTCTCTCAGTCGACTGGGGGTGCGAGATTATATAAGTGGCGAGAAGCGGGTGTGTGCGGCTTGCCTTTGCTTTGTTCCTCGAGATTACCTTGTTTGTAGTATTGCTTTCGTTGTATATATTCACGGGTGGACGATTTACATTCTCTCTTTCTTTATCACCTTCTCTCTCTCTCTCTCTCTCTCTCCCTCTATTTCTATCTACGACCTCATGTGTCTACACGCTCGTTCTATCCATATCTCTCCTTCTCTCTCCCTTGGTTACCCCACGTTTCCTCCGGCAGTGCATGCGTCGCCGGAAACGGTCGTGCGCCGAGGGTTTCCGTCGCTCCAGGGGAATCAAACTTCACAATCGAGTTTCACTCGCCCGGTTTCTGCTCCAGGTGATATCTCGTCGTCTCGCCGATTCCCGATGACGTCGCTGCCCTGGGACGCGCGTGCTTGCACGCGAACGTTGACATCCTGACGACGAAGGAGGCCCGTTTCTCCTCGTATTGACTTTCGAGGAAAAATGCGACGCGATTAAAAGGCGAATCTTCGTTTATTCCGTTGATCAAAGTCTCGAGAGAGCTCTTCTCGGCCAATTGGTTCCGGGTTGGCTCTGCGTTGCTCCCTTTACGTAGGTTCGATAAACGGACTTTGAGTTTCCCATTCGATATACGCGAATAGGAGTTGGTCCTCTGAATTACTCAGCGCGCGTCGTTTCCCGAGGATGAAGAAAGAGTCTCTTCCAGCTCCCTCGACGCGTCTTCTTACGTCAAAAGATACGATCCAATATATAGATTCCGAGTGAGAAGAAACACTTGTATTAAACTGATCCAAAGTTGCTCGTCGTTTCCCTTCGATCCTCTCTGGCCCGCGTCCGCCGTTTCCGGAGGTCCTCCAGGATCTCGCTCCTTTCTTTTTTCCAAAACTCGTCTCCTCACCTTCGACTCCGGAGATGGGCGGGTGTGCCTTCGCAGGGACGAGCAACAAGTTGGACAACAGGTCCGCGATGTTGTGTATCCGTGTGCGCCGGTGTGTGCGAGCGCTGCCGCCGCCGCCTTACGTGTGTGGTCGATAGCTCCCTCTAAAGCCCTCTTCTCACCGCGACCCCGGAAATCCACCCCTACACACACACACACACACACACACACACGCGCACACACACGCGCGCGCGCGCAGGACTCGGTTGTTACCGAAGTTGCCGGTTGTGTTGCGCGCTATGTTGTAGGCTTTCCCGCAGGTTCCGTGGCCCAACCCTGCTCGGTGGTCGCCAACCCTCTGACGTCGACGACGCGATCCACGCGAACTGCCGGTGGGTCTCGGATATACACGACGGACGGATATACACGAGGCGTAACCACGACAACGAGCACCGCGACGGCGACGGTGACGTGGAACGAGAGCGAACGACGACGACGACGACGACGACGACGGCGGCGGCGACGAGGACGATGATAACGACGAGGACGAGAGGGACGACGACGACGTGCACCGACCGAGCTTCGCGAAGATCGAAGACGAAGATGTACCACCTGTAGGCGCAGAAGCAACAATTGTCCGCCGTGTATCGCGGTGGAGGGTAGCCCGACTACATGGCTCGTACCGGGTGTGGCTGGGGTGCAACTGCCAATGCAGCGTCGCCGACGAGCGTCGCCCCGCGTCCCGGGCGCCTGCGTCCTCGCCGCCGCTCTCTCGTGTGTGCAGCGCTTCCACCACCCCCTCCTCTTCCACCCTCTTCTCGAGGGAGGCTTCCCCTCCCGTTACTCTCTCTCTCTCTCTCGCGCGCTCTTCGTTCTCATATATACAGCGCTACCCCATCTCTTCCCTTCTCTCGTCCTCGATCGCGAGGGGAGAGAAAGACCGAGGGTGGATCGGTGGGGAAACCCCCTCGCGGATCCGGCTCTCGTCCATCGATTTTGTACGAGTTCGGGGCCAGACCAACACCTGTTACCGCCGGTGGGTGGTCGAGAGGGATGGAAGGTGGACGAGAGTGGGATGGAACGAGATGGAGAGCAGCGAGGGCGAGAGAAGCGAATCTCCCTTCCGCGGTTGAGAGAGAGAGAGAGAGAGAGAGAGCGACGCCAATCGATAGCGTCGACCTCGGTATCCTGCCGGCGCGGCGGAGTTCGCGATAGCGCGCTACCCTCTTTCTATCTCTTTCCTTTTCACCCTCGGGTTCCTCCGTCTCTGCCTCGCTTTGACGGCGTCTTCTTCCTCGGCCGGTTGGATCGCGCGATTCGCGTCTTCTCCTCTATTTCGCTCTTCTTGTTGTGTGTATATATATAGATTGAATTTATTTATCGCGTACGCGGCGGCGCCACGTCTATTCTCTTTCCGCGGGGAACTCCCGGAATTAGCGCTAACAAGCTGGTCCGGAATGTAACTCCGGGGATGGAATTAGCTCGGATTATTTTCTTAGAAGTTGTCGATGGTACGTCGCTCGAACTTTCTCAGGGGAGCGTCGAACGTTGAGCTTGGAACGTAAAACGGAATTGACTACACGTGCGCTCCATATAAAAGCTAACAAATATCGATTCCTCTGGTTTTGTCTCTTTCTCTCACCCGCCCCTCGCTCGCCGTTTTATCACTTGGGTTTTACTGCTTACGATTACTTACGCTGGATATAGCGCGATGTTATTTGGAATTGAGATGACGAAATGCAACTGGGACTTGTAACTACGATTTTGATTAAAATTATACGTAATTTCTCCCACGTCGCGTTAAATCGATATTTGGTGTGCGTAGAAGATTAAGTACTTGGGTTATCTTTAATATCCTTAATCGATGAATTTTTCTTTCCTCTTTTTTTTATTATATTTTTAATCAGAATTTCCTACCCCAGAGGCTATTTGACGAGCGATATTTCAGGCTTCTCGTTTTCTTTTTCGCACATGCGTGACGTTTAAGAGTATACTAATAAATTCGCGACGTGCTTGCATGAAATTTACAGAGACGTTGCTAATCACCTCGGGTTTGCGACCTCGCGAAATTGAATAATTAGACGTAATCGCGAATAATTAATGGACAGAGATCCTTGACGAGTAACCTAGATATCGAATAGTATTTTTTATTCCAGCTAATAATCATTTTAAAACGTCATTCCAAAACATTTCGCGCCAATCTTCATTCGGTAAGCAATAAGATTATTCCATCATCAGCGTTCGAATGATCAGTTCGTAAATATGTTTTGACGTAATTGTTATCGATTTGAAGCTTCGTTCTTCTTTTTCATTTTGCTATTCGAATAAAGCGTTATTTCCTCGCGTGCGCGTAGATATACGGATAATTTATCTTCCCTATATTTATCTCGGTTCATCTCACACATTAACACACATATACGCTTCTCCCGATCAAAAGTCATGTCGAACACGAGCTGTGTAATCCCGCAGTAGCTGCAGTTGCACCAGGTCGGTGGGTGCCAACAGCGCTACTCGCTAAGGGTGGTTACGGCGGTTCACCCTATATATACACCCCCTTCTTCCCCCCTGGTTCGTGCTAGCTCTCTCGGAGTGTCTAACGGCGTCGTCATGGTATAACTAACATTTAACGTAATGACCATTTAGTCAACGAGTGCCACTTGACAGCTAGCGAGCAGTTGAGCCGGAGAAAGAGTAGGGAATAAATGAGAAAGAGAGAGAGAGAGAGAGAGACTGAACCACCACACCGGTTATCCACCCCCGCCGCCATCATATAACGACACGTCGCGAGTCAGAGGTTGCCGAGCAACGGATGATGGTCGGCGAAGCGATGTGCTCGAGTCGAATGGAGAGCGAGAGAAACGAATAATAACGAAACGGCCGGCCATTCCCGAATTTAGCCGCAGGCCCGTAAAGCGCGGGAGCCGCCGCTCGATCGGGAATGTTTTTCTATTTTTTTTTTTTTCTTCGCGGAAAATCGTCGCGTCGGAATTTTTAATTTTCCGCAAATTTCTCTCCCAAGAGACCGGCAACGTACGCGCGGTCGGAAATTTAATTTTCGTTACGTCAAGAGGGAATGTTTTTTAATACGGGTATATATACACAGACATTTTTGTATTTCAAGATAAAATAAAAATATATCGCGCTCGTTCCTTATTTCGTACGATGTATATATATATATATATATTTATTCTGTCCCGCAATTTAATAAATGTGCGTACATAAAAATAATATATCGATTCGCGTGTAATAAGGGATGAAGGATCTGGGGCGCCGCCTCGTTTAAAGTCGGTCCTGCGAAACGCACAAACATGCGAAATAAGCCTCGGACGCGCTCGGGAGGATCGCGAGGAACAATAACGTACGATACATTCCAATTTCGCTCGAGTGGTCGCCATTTTGTTAAAGGGGAGTTCCATTAAGCGAGGGGTGATTTTTCGGGCCGTCGTTCCGCTGAAACGACGCGTACATAAATATATATATTACGTCTTTCGCGCGCGCGCGATCTCGTACAGGGTGTTTCATTCTCATCTGTATGAGTGTTATCTCTGGAAACAGCACGAGGCGTAAAAGGATAAAAGTCGAATATGTCACGTAGCACGTGGCTGATATGGATTTCGTCTCTCCGCGAGGCCATGTTGCTTTTCTCTTCGGGATCTCCTTCGGTCGTTCCACGGGCGTTGAAATAAAATAAAAAAAAAAAAAAAAAAAAAGGGGGGAGAGAAAAAAAATATTGAGTCCGATTAATCGTTTTATGTCTATTTGACATCGAATTTGCCCTTATTTGCTATACGAAACTTTAGCAAAAGTTTTTAGAAGAGAGAGATAGAGATTAAAAACGGCTCTTCAGTGAATCCTCGCAGCAGTAATGATCCATTTATCCTGTATAATGTAATTATTAACTTGGCCCATTATACCTCGACGTACTCAAATGAGTTTGAAGTGAGCTCTGGATATATCAATCTAAATTACGTCGGATGTTATTATAACTGCGTTTAATATAATTTCTTTTATTTTCTAACCAAAAATGGGGATAAATGCAACGTAAGTGAAGTATATGGATGTTAACGTTAAGGTTAAATAGGAAGGGCAATTAACGAAACGAATAATAGATGACTTTAATAACACGATGTTCCCGAGACTTACAATTCCATTCTTTCTCTGACGTCTCTCGGTCCTTTTTTTTGTACTCGTCGCTTTTTCTCCGAGACGTCTTCCTCGTAAGTAGCGCCATATCACAGAGATGATTTACCCCGGAACTGTAAATTACGTTAGATAATGGCTCACCGTAGTGGAAACTTGGGACTTTAAAGTTGAGCCGTAAAATTTGAAACTTCGTTTAAAATACGATAATACGATGATTACCGGCCGGCGAATCGAGAATAGCGGCTGCTTTAAATTAATCTTTTTCTCTTTAATGTGTCTTCATTTTCTTTGCGTATTTTTTTTATTCTCGTATTTATTGCGGTTTGATACATTCAAAAGAAAAATCTATTCACGAATAGATATAGAATATATATATATATATATATATATATATATATATATATATGTCATATACATGTAAAACAAGAGAGAAATTTTTCCCTCTGCATTTTTTTGTAATCCCCGGAAAATATTAAATAACAATATTAAATTACTTTCGTGTTGTACAGAAGCTAATATTTAATATACATTTATTAAAAGATATATGGCATTTGTATCATTTTGGACTGGAAAATAACAAACTTTGAAATAACTTTGTAATGCTGAATGTAATTATTTGTTCGCCCTTTTTTCTACGCCAAATGAGAAAAGTAATGCTGAATGAATTTGTTCGCCCCTTTTTCTACGCCAAATGAGAAAAGATCGAAAGTATCCTCGTTTTACCATCCTATAAAATTCGCTTATGATTATGCAGACCATTCGCGAATTATAGTGGTAAGTCGCTGGAGATATTACGGTAAATTAACGGCATTAGGAATGAAATTTTCGTTCGAGTTAATAACTTTGCCGTTCCTAAAATATTCATATCGAGATTGGCAAAAATTAGCATCTCGTTAGAAAACGTATAACTAAATTGCTCGAATAACAAGTATACGTATCTTTTCTTCGCGGAATCATTCTGAGCACAATGAACCACGTTTCAAAGTATACAAGATCAATAGCTCACAAATCCATGTAAGACAAGGGTCTTTAAAGGTCCTTGATATCTACGTCAGCTATCACGGATCATGACGTCAGAGATATGGAAATACACACGCGAACAATTCTTCTAGGAGATTCTTCTATATACTCACACAAATGTTCAAACACACATACATCTATAAATTCTCTTTTACATTTCTCATACCTTCATACGAACCATACTTAAAAAATGATATAAATATAATTGTGGATCACGATAAATTTAAATAATCGATAGGATCAATCTGAAATATACGAATCGGAATTAGAGAGCCATTCAATGCACGAACGAAATAAAGCCGAGATAATTTATGCAAGATCTCTATTTGACGAATTTTCTGTTCAA